CGTCACTTCCGCATGAACTAGTTCAGTTGTGAGTGGCATCGAAATATTGGGAAATCACTCCGGTTTCGTTTCTGTCAACATGTTTTAGTCAAACATGTCGCTCCTGGCGTGCCGTTAATTGTAGCTATTGCTGATTAAGGTGATGATTTGCAACCAAAGCACGCCCCCATAAAGCCAGCACCGTTTAAAACAGTTTAAGCACGCTCTAAACTTAGAATTCTAATTGCTCAATATAATGGGAATTGCGAAAGCCATAATGCATAAGGGGGACCTGCCTGTCAAGCTGCGCATTTTATTTAGAGGATAATTAAAATGTTTTTATTTTTATAGCCCTTTCGACAAAGGCTTCAAGAATATTTATTTGACTCCTACAAAACTGAATCTTCCATTAAATATTCTTAGGAATATATTAAGATTTATCGTAAACCATTATTCATGAGCTTGATTGGAAATCTTTATAAAATCTTTGTAAACAAATATCTTAAACTGTGTTGCTTAGTGTTAAAAGCTTGCTTTTAAGCTTTTGTGCATTTCATGGCTACCAGGTTCGTATTGGCTTATTATAAACTTGGCTTAGTTGTTAAAAGCCCGCTCAAAAGTAAGCTTTGAAATAAATTCGTCAACACAGCTGGATGATTTGAAACTTAAGCTCAAGATACAAAAGCTTTTAAATAATTTTTTAAATCATTAACGCTGTTTAAAAAATGACATTAGCCGAAGCTCAATAACCATTTGATTACCCAGTGAGAAGATTATAACTAATGAGTCTGAGAATTTATAAGCTCGTTGATCTACAATAATAGGCTGCAAAGGTCGTAAACACAATTCATAATTCTGGTTTGGCCCCAAACTATCTTTGATAGAACATTTGCGCTCTTTAGGAACATTTTTCCACGTTCTATGTTGAACTTTAAGTCTAGCTATTAAGGTGTATTACGCTTAATTCTATCCCACTCTGGGTGGAGACAGTCGTTTGCCCTGAAAGGCCACAGTTCTTAAAGGAAATCGCCAAGTCAGCATAATAAAAAATAAAAAAAGCACACGCCTGTCATAAGAACTGGCAATTGAAGATTTATTTCCGCAATGTGCAAGTGTCACTGGCTTTTGTTTTCCTGAGTAACCCACCACCTTTGGAAATCTTTAGAGTTATGATAAGTGAGCTAAATCTTAATGAATATCAGCCATATCACGTAGGCTTAAAGTAATTCCCCGAATAAAGTTTGTCACATAAATTTTTCCGGATTCTTAGGGCTTTTGTTATCCGGTCTTTTCTTCGCAACAATGATGTTGTTTTTGATGTGTTTTGCTGTTTGAACTTTTGCCATACCTCTCGAGTACTTTCACCCTTTTAGCCGCGCTGCAAGAAGCCATATGCCATATGCAACTATTTCAGCGTATTTGCTCACAGTATTAACAGCAATTTGGCCAGCCTGCTAATTGGCTCGAAATGTGGTCGCACAGACAGAAATATTGCACAATGCGGCCAATCAACTTGGCAAAAATCTGACTCAAATGCCGTGCATTGTGTGCCAAAAAGTTTTCCTCCGATAATTATAGACATATACCCAAAACGCTGAGCCCAAAATCCCACAACGCTCGACCAGCTTTCGGTTTCCATTTGATTTGATTTTATGTGGCTTGTTTCTTTTGCTCATTTGCCAGTTTACAAGAGACCTTGACACATTTGGGGCGTGTGTTTTTTGATAGCTTTGGCCAAAATCATCACAAATTATTCAACTCAGAGAAGAGTTGAGCTGGATGTTAACCTGACTGGAAGTGGACCAAGCAATTACAGCAAAGGCAGAGAAAAACCAATGGAGCGTTTGCGTTTGCCATTTCGTAGATCATTGTTTATGGGGCGGTCACAGCCTCTAATTGTAATTAATTAAGCTCTTGCATTAGCAGCTCTTTTGCATGTGGCCGCTCGAAAATAAAGCAAAGTAGGCAAAAGGCTTAGCTCCGAGTTGCAGAAATTGCATAATGTTTGGCAAGTCGCGAAAGAAACCACTTTTGAGTACTGAAAAGCTTTGCAGCAGCTGGAGCTTTCCACTCCATTGCTCGAAATGCAGTGAGCAAAACTAGGGAGCAGTTCAACAGGTGCTAAGCAATAATTCCGACACAAAAAAATAAAGTTAAGAAGGTTGCTAGAATTAAATGTATGCTATGTTGTTTTTGCTTCTCATGTGGTTTATGGCTTCTGAATGGTTATGGCTAAACTTTGGTAATATTTTCATATTTAAATTAAATAATTGCTTGCTTAGTTTAGAAGAGTCACCTTCAGTTGTCTTTTAGTTAGTTCTGTGACTCTTGAGCATTAAATATAAATACCTATTTAACCTTTAAGCTTTGAAATATAATTACAACAAGAATAATTTTTAGTGTGTAAGCTTTGATTTAAAGCAACCTGCTAAAATCGAGTTAAAAACTTGTAAAGTTAAGTTAAATGACTTGTACAAAGAAATAAAGTGCTTAAGATTGACAAATATACAAAATTCTAGAGCGAACAAATATTAAGGTATATCTTTTTACATAAATAAAAACAACGTTTTACTTAATTACTTCTTTGTTTAATTTAAACTATAATTCACGCTGCAGAAATAGAGGATTAGGTCACAGGGCGAGTGTTCCAGCAAAAAACGAGTTTCGAGCGAAAGGGAAATTTTATCTTTAATCGTTAAGTGCAATCCGTTTTATGAGCTTGAAACTGCCGCAGCCGTCGTCTCGTGGCTGGATGCAATTAATTTAAAGTCAGGCTGGAGCTTCTGCTGTGCGTCTGGAATTCCAGCCTCTTTGCACCGACAGCTTCCCAGCAAACTTCCTCCTCGTCGCAACGGCGACCTTGTGCCCGTTTTCACAGCAACATAAAAACACAGAGGAAAGAAGAAACTAAGCTGAGATGAAATGGTCTGTCTGAATGGGGAACCCAGACTGGGAATGGCTATAAATGGGATGGAGTAGACAATACGAAAATGTAGATTCAAAATGTGCACATCGCAAGACAAAAGGCCGAAATTGTAAGTGAAGCTGTCGAGAGGAAATTGATGCCATGGCAAAACACCGAAACATTTGTCAACCAATTTCTTCAATATTTCTGTTGCCATTTTCGCAGTTACCACTTGTTGTTGCTCTCGTTTTTCCAAGCCGAAGTCAACAAACTTGTCCAAGGTGTTGGTGTTGTTGCTGCCGCAGAATGACTGGCCAAAAAAGCCATAAAACAAAGAAAGACGTAGTCAAATGTAGAAAATTGCAAGCTTAGTTTTTGGTTTTCGTATTGAAAGCGAACTGTGTTGGCTTGGATTTCTGTTTGTGTGGGCGTTACCCATTAGTGGAAACTAAAACAACAGTTACGACATTTGCAGCTTGTAAGAGCCAAGAGGCTGAAGGCTTTACATGGTTTTAACTGCACATGTAAGTACACCATGACCCAGCAGCTTACTTATTGTAAATTAGCTGGAAACCAGACGATGATGAGCCGAGTGAATCATAAACGTTATAAGTCTATTGCCACATATCCCAGTTAATGATGAATGTGGAGGAGCTGGAGCTGGAGCTGAGTTTTCAGGGCTCATTAGCACGTTGCCTGTCGTCTTCCAAAAACCATGTCAAGTGCGACGGCGACGCACTTCGTTTATTTATTTCTTGATATTCCACATCTGCTCGCATATGTACCTACACCTGCCTGAATTGCTTGTTTTTCAACTACAATTATGTCCATTGCACCGACTACGAGGATGTTTACAGGCCCATCAGTCAGCCGCGAAATCGGTTTTATGCGATTCATTAAATCCGACTGACGTGCCCCGCCGGACAACGCGGCGTATGAGTAATCTGTAAAGGAAAAAAATCACACCGCTTATTAAATACCGATTTGAGAGCTAGATAAGTCGATGTTTTAGGTCTCGGGAATGCATGACGGGCAGATATTATAATGTATAGCAGGCGACCTTGCCAGTTAATTGCCGTTTAATAGCAAAAGAAAAAAATGTACTCCGCTGTCCAAGACAAACCAAAATCCAACTTGCCATTGTATCGCTGTCCATTGACCACTGACCATTGACCACCTGCTTAAGATGTTCGGGCGCGATTTGTTACAACACCCGATTTGATGGCACTTTTGGCCAGAAACACCCACAGCGCTAAGTTGGCTGTGCATTTTCAATGTCAGCATTGCGCAAAACTGGACAGTTTGGTCTGTTTTGGATTTTTTCTCTTCTTGTACATTGGCTTCGTTTTTCCCTAACTCGGCAAACGCCCTTAGTCACGCCCTTAACGTCGGCTTGTTAATTTTTTTTTCTTGAATGACATTGAAATTGTGCAATAGGCAAACAACAAAATTTTTAATACAGACATGTTTATTGATTTTGCGTCTCGCCTGTCCATCACTTCAGCTCCCAAAATCATTCTTTGGCTTGGTAATTATATTAATTAAGGCATTTAAGTTTGCCTTGAGCAGCTGCAAATATTGGTATCTATTAGCGGCGAACTTTGCACTGGTTAGATTGGCATTTACTTATGTAAAGAAATGCAATCTTAATTAAAAGTGCCTGGGAATCTTAATGGAATTGCGATGGCAATTACGACCAAATGAAGCCATTAACCGATTTAAAAGAGAGCTGCAGTGAATGGGTGAGCGGCCCGTTGGGCTTTTGCAATTCTCGGCGAGGAAGAAGACGGCGTCAAGGTCGCTGACGGATTGCATAAGCCGCATGTTGGCCGCCTCAACGTCACAACAACGACGTAAAAAACCCGAAAACCGGGGCCCTTTTTTTTTAAGAGTTTTCCCCGTCGCCGCGAAGGTGAACCGCCGCCAGGAGCAGAGCCAACAAACCTTGCCACTCGTTCACTTGCTTATTTGCCAGACGCATCGCGCTCATTCGCCGCCAACTAGCCACTGGCTCACTCAAAAGTGAGTGGCTTTTTGAGTGGCCTCTGAGGCGCAGGTGTTTGGCGCTTTGCTTGGGCTTCGCCGCTGGCTAGCTTTTCAGTTGAGTTTCTGGCAGTCAGGCATTCGCAGGTCCAACGTCTAGACGCGCTCAAAAGTCGCGCTTCGAACGCACGTGCAAAAGTGCAGTATCAGTCCGCTCGCCTACCGCTTACCGCGCACCGCTCACCGTTCACCACTCACCGCTCACAGCTCACCGCTCTGTACCGCTCTCCATCTCTCTCTGTCTCTTCCATTGACAAAGTGTAAAGTGCAAAGCCAGCAGCGGCGACGTCGACGCAGCGCCAGCGTCTCAGCATCAAGTCGGTTGAGCTCAGGCCGCCTTTTGGCCAGCGACTCGAAGTCAGTCTGGTCCGTACCTTTCAGCGCAACGCAAGTGCTCCGGTTAATTCGCTCGGTCCGCTCGTGGTTTCTTGTGAACCCCCTCGAACGAACACTCGATCGATCGCGTTCGTGCCCTAAGTCTTTCGTTTGGCGAGAAGTGGATTATAAAGCACCAGCGAAACGACTGAAATTGTGTGCAAATAGATATATATTTGCCCCAGCTAGAACGCGCATTGTAAGTGTAAATTTGCTCATCAAACACGAAAGGGAGTTATTTGGAATTTGCCGAGCTTGAATGGCCAGTGCCGCCACACACACGTTTCAGGAAATCGACCAAAAGGCAGGCACCGCGATATTTAAGCAAACAACAGCTTATTCTTCACAAAAACAAATGGCTGCCAGCCGCTTTGTCGTCAATTACTTTGTTCGCGAACTTCCAACACCATCATAATCATCATCATCATCATTGAGATCCACATCATCAATAACAAAGTGGATGCCTCCGCCTGTCGTTTCCTCCTTCCCCCTAAAATGTTCCAACGCGTGTGCTCCGCGTTTGGCATACAAATAATGGGCGTCATCGCCGCCCCAAAACGTTGTTAGAATATGCTTAATCTGATATTACCTGAGCAACTCCATCATGATGTTGCTACACTTTTTCCCCTGTAATGGTTGTGAATTGCATAAAAAAATGTGGCAAATGTGGCCATAATTTCGGTCATTAACTGCATTTCACATCGCCTCGATGTGTCATTCCTGCAGCCATTGTGCATGGATATTATCGCAAAGCACTTTGCTTAATTTTCTTTTTGCTTATCGGCTTAATGGTGTGGTGCCGAAGCCCTTGAAATAATACCTGTTTCATTTTGTTGCCTTATGGAATTTTTTTATTCTAGACAGCGCTTTCCTTGCGCACTAAAAAAAGCTCTTTGTGACCTAAGACCCCCATGAATATTTTGCTGAAAGACTAGTCACTATCTGAGATCAGCACATTACAGCTTAATCCGCCCTGTGGGAGCAAACAAAGTACCGAGTTTCGGGTAACGCCCACCAGCCCAAAATGGGAAGAGGTCAACGGCAATTATAGAGCAGTTAGCCACTTTTTGTGTACACCACAATTTGCACTGGACATTGCAATTCGAGCAAAGTTCAGCGCAATTAGGTGCTGTGACTTTTTGCATTTTGCATTTTCATTGCACAAGTTGAAAAGCGTCATAATAATAACAATTATATCTTACAATAAACTGCATTCATCGTCGTATTTTGTATTTTGTGCACCCAGAGACCTTCGGCGAGGGCCCTGAAATTAGTTGTCAAGGTTCCCCATTCCCCTCTCCCCCCGCATGTGCATTTCCGCGCTGTGCAGCATTTAAAGTTTAAACTTGAACTGGTATTTTCGACTTGGGTTTTTTCGTGCCGTCCAGTATCTGTCTTTCTTTCTTTCTGCCTTATTATTTGGGGTCTCTGATTCTCTGTTTATCACGTCGCGGCTATGCTTCGAGCAGAGTTCAAGGTGCCTCCAATCCAAACCACTCGGCAACAGAGCGATGCCAACTGAGGTTATATCTCGAGCTGTAGGCACTGCTAAGCCATAAAGCGGTGCGACATTTAATTAATACCAAGGCAGCGCCGCTATTAAGTTAAAGCCTTATATAAATAGCCGACAGAAGTCGAGAATACTCGCCTGGCAATCTGATCCGATCCGATATGATTATGGGGATTGTTAAACTAATTGCAAACAATTTGCATTGCTCTAATCGATTTTAAACGAACGGACGATACTTCCCCCTTGATGATTGCCCTGGGCTAAGCTGCATAACCAATGAAATTAGACTTAAACTGGACTTAATGCTATGCTCTGTTCCATGACGCTGGTCACTTAATAACCGATCAACAGGCCCTAATTGCTCAATAAAGTCAAGTGAGATGCTTAACAAGCGGGTCGAGATTTAATCGGTTCGAAACGACAGTTCGTCATATTGATTTTTCAATTGGCCTTTAGGGTGTAGACCTTTAAGGAGCATTTGTAATTCATACTCGTGGACATTATAAATTCAGATTTGGTAAATCATTCCATGACAGGCCGAACATTTGGTGCGGTTCACGTGACCCCGGCTGAACTCCAAATTGTTTTAATGTCTGGACTCGATTGTGCAACTGTGAGACACACAACAATTGAGAAAATTAAATATTAATTGAGGCAATCGGACATTCTCTTTCGAGTTTTCGCAGGAATCGGACTCCAGACTGGTTTGTAGAGCACAACAACTGCCAATCGATACACGCCACTTGTGAATTGATTAAGTTCGGCTGGCTTTACAGACCATCTGGATTATCTAACGCTGGTTTATGGCCAACACACATTTCTAGCCAGTGCGGGTGAGTGCTCGACTATTTATTTTTGGGCTCGGGCCGCAGAAAAGTCTAAAGACCTGTTGCAGAACCAGTTGCGAACCCCCCGACTGGTTTGCCATTTGCAGAAATGGCCAAAAGCCCGCCTCGAAGAAGTTGCAGTCACGAAACTGTGTCGCACACCGCTGCACCGAAAGCCAGCTCACAGACATACGTGCCTGAAATTATGTCATCGGAAAAGCCAGTCGAAGAAAATGAAAACTGGCCACTAGAGATCGAAAGTAGTGAGTGGCACTGGGGAAGATGTCGTCTTCTTCCAAGGCGGTTCTAATTAGTTTGGAGGCCTTATTTTACCCACTTGCTTAATGCCACACACGTAGCCATCAAACCTTATAGTTTAATCACCAACCAAAATGGTTTTTCCTGTCTGCATTGGCTCAAAAAAAAAGTCATTCGGCGGTTGCATTGAGATTGCCCAATTGAAATTTAAATCGTATATGAATAAATTCATCCAAGCATTGTCTGCAGCTGGTTAAATGGTGGTTAAATGCTTTCATGCTCAAGTGGCCAACTGATGGGGCAATATGTTGCCAATACATGGGAGTTTCGAGCGATGATTCATAGGTGGCCAGTTTTCGGGTTCTCTCTCACATTTAACACATTCGATGACGCACTTGTTAGCGCTTAGATAAAACTTTCCGCTGCACCGGAAATTCACGGAAAGCCATTGCATGCCAGCTACTATTGACCTTGGCATCGCAACGCACTCGGCATGCAAACTAGGCATCAGCGAATCGCAATATGTTGTTAAGAACTCGCCTGTTGTTTTGAAAGCTTTAACTTCAGCGCCTTACACATCTCCAAGTGGCTCCGAAAACAACTGAATTCCAATGTCAAATGCGTACATTGCTTTCGGGCTCAATTATTATTATTATTTCTACTACTTCTATTGTTATTGCGGTGAAATAATGAAATAAGCGGCTTTTGGTACGTTCGCTTATAAAATTGACGCAACGTCCAAGAAACGTTCACAGTTTTCTTTGGATCGTTGATCGTATAATGCTGCATGATTCAGCACTATGGCATTATACTGTGATCACAACAACAGAAGCAAACACCGCAAGGTGTTGATTGTATAATGTTTCGAACGGGGAATTCGATTCAGGTATTAGAGTGGTACTTTCCAAGTGATCTAGAAGCTCGTTTGGCAATTCTTTCGACGGCTTTTCCCGCGAATCGTAAGCTCCTTTGGGAGTACAAAATCATTGATAAATTGATCACCCGCGATGACTGCACAAGATTCCAGCCAACGTGACGCATGCGTAATATCGCGCCACAAAAGTAGGCGAAAAGAGCAGCGGAAAGACAAGCTCGGCAAACTCCAGTGCATAAATCAAACAACAATTTACGCTCAAACATGATTATTATTTATACATTTCAGCAATGTGTGCCTGAAACACATAAAACACAGCCTCACATCCACTTGGGCATTGCAAAAGATTGGCCCGGCAGCGAAGTAAAAGTAAACGCTTAACAAAGTAACTAGCATTTAGACAAAGGCAAATAAAAACAAGAAATAGGCAAAGCAAACAAAACAACACCCACCAGCGGCACAGCAGCAAATCCACCAGTAAATCCAACAAATAAAATGCTGATATCAACGTAAGTAAATTCGTGGGTAAACGTGTAGGGATTACGGCCATAAATTGCAATCAAGGTGCGAAACAGACGCAATAACTTCGTTACTGTTTTTTTCCCCACACTCTTTTTTGACCCACTGATGTTGACCCACTTGGTGGTAAGTCAATCGCCGCCTATGATGGCCATCAGTCATTGGCTGGGATTCGGCTTTGTCTTCCAGTTTCCTGCTGTCAACGCCCGATAACGACTTCAACACTTGTCGACCCATTAACGTTGCATAATCGTGTTGCCTTTGATTTGACTTTTCCAGCGCTTCACCCTTTTGTGTCTTTTTTCCCGCTTTTGGCCATATTTGGTGTTTCTTTTGCCGCTTTTTTTTGCGCTTTGGCCGCTTTTGCATATTTGCCAGCCTGGCTGGGTCGAAAAATGCGACCGCATTTCTCAGCGGGGCGAACAAGTTTGTAATTATGTCAAATACCAAAAGGCTCATTGCATAATCCCAGCCATATCACAGCCATCGCGAATTCGTCTTCTTTCGGCCTCAAAACCACTTGATCCGCACTCGATCCATGTGAAGATGAAACATTGTCTGGGTATCTCCCAGTCATGATTTCAGCACTCACCACCAGTCTGTAAATCATGGAAGTTCGCTGATTTATTTGGCAAATGACAAGTCTGTCATTTCAATGGCTTCCTCGTTGGCCCAAGAATAGAAGGCACTTAATTGTATGCGCGCGCGAAAAGAAAAACGAAGCGAACAGTACGACAAAAGGCAATTACACGACATTTGCATCTTCCTCGTGTGTGGCAGCGACTGCTATGGAAATGGCTAAGAGGTGTTTTGCCTGTCAATAATACCCGCTCTGGCCTGGAATTCCCCCGAAGTCTGGAGGCAAGAACCTATTGGGGATCGGCGTGCTTAGCATTCAGCTCGTTGTTCCCATCGATGCGTGACAGACTCCGGCTGAACGGGGCCAGAAACGATTTGAGTCCCCTAATAATGCCTCTCCCTTTGCTGATTACAGGCGATTAGGCGGCTCGATCATCAATGAAATCGCAGCACGATATGCATGCTCTTTAGCTGTTATATAAATAGCACAGACTGAAAACAGAAGCCTCTTCCATATTATTGCGAGATAAATGTTTAAGAAGGAATGATGAAGGAATGCTTACAAATACTATATCAAATTGATCACCTTATCATAGCGACTTTTCTCCCTCTGTAACCGGCAGTCCACATCTTGAGATGACCTCACTGTCGTCTCGGTGGGAGTCCCTCCGCACTTTGCCTCTCCGCATTCGGTTTTATTTTAAACTATTCGCCACGATAATTACACATTCTAAAGTCCGCATTTAACACGGTGAGCAAAGGGCGGAAAGAAAATGTGTCAGTTATGGCAGAGTGGTGCAGTTAAGCTTATTGATGGTTTCTGGTTAAGGGGAAATGACGACTGTTGTGAAGTATTTTTTCCGCCCATAACTCGGTGTGTTGACAAACCCAGTGTCCCATTCTCACGCTCTGTCATCCACTGGGGCGCGTCTCAGGAGAAATCGGCCGAACAAAAATTCCCCAAAAAAATGTGGACCCGTGCTGGGCAAATCGCTGCATGCATAAATAGCGCTCTAATAGTTAATTAAATTATCAATAAGCATTAACAAAACACAAACACCATCGACGGGCCCGAATTTCCAAGCCATAAATGTCAAGCACAAGAGTGCGGAGAAGAGGAAAAATGTCGGTTTGTTGTCATTATAAAAAACTACCTGGCCTGACCTTGTCCATTGTTGACTGCTGGCACAAACACAGAGACGCACCGATTTACGCAACCCGCGATCGTTGGTTGTTGTCTCTTGTCTGTTTTCTGTTGGCTTTTGGCTGTGACTAACTCCATCCAGCGCACGCAAATCGAAAGACTCAGGCAACGAACTTGAAACTTGAAACACATTTCGTCAACCGGCCAGCCGAAATTGCAGCATGGCATTTCTGAGTGCGTTTCGTATTCAGAATTCGTGCGGCCCAGCCCCAAATGTTGTCAACGCATTATGCTAATATTTGATAGGCCGTCGTCGCATAATAAAGCTACTTAATTTTCCCTGCAAAGCTTGGTATTCGAGGATGTTTGCTCGCCACTCGACCATTGGGCAACCAACCCATCTCGTGCCTTATAATAAATGCAAATATTTGCGGCCGATCGAATATTTATCTTAACGAGAAGTAACGCAATCGATTAGCAAAAACACCGAGACATCGAGACACTGAGACACCGAGCCAAAAACCGTAGCCAAATCGTTTTCGAAAGCGACATCGGTGGAGAAAACAACAACAGATCGGCGATCGAATGCGCTCAATCAGTGACCTTGAACTAGTTTCCCCCTCCAGCATGTTATTTATATTTTTGGTCTGTTTGTCTCGCTTCTCGTTTTCTGGTATGACTTGCTCGTTCGCCAGCGCTAATGATACGAAAACCCCCAAAAAAAAAAAGCTGCCAGCCGAAATATGTTAAGGAGGTGCGAATGTGATTAATTGCAGGCAATTATGAACTTTCTTTCCTCCGCGACTTACAGTGCAGCTAGCCTTGACCCAAAACGGGAGAAGCTTTCGGTGGCTATTTTTACACGTTTTCGATGCGTGCCAAAAACTGCATGGGAAATTGCATAATGGGCGCTGCCAATGCAAATGCAAAATGCAAACTGCAAAGTGCGGCTGGCAAATTTGCTCAATGGCTGATGGATGGATGGCTGTTAAGCAATCGGCCAGAGCTGGTCCAAAACCAGACTTGGCCAACTCCAGCTGGACTCCGACTTCGGCCGACCAAGTGGCCAAATAACCAAGTGGCCAAAAAGCGCGTTGGGCAAGAGACGAGTGCGCCGAGTGCCTAACTATAAATATTGAAATGAAAAGTGTTGCCAAGCTTGTCCATTGTGTGCCCGCTGTTTCGCTCTGTTTTATGCTTTTTTGCAATGTGTGCCGCTGACATAGTTTCGAAGCTGAGTGAAGCATACCCCACAAAACACAAACGCGGACTGAGATGCAAATCCGCTAGGCGATCGTTATGCAAATTGCTATATATGAAACATGCGATATGCGACAGCAGGAAGCTGCCTAAAGCTGGCAAATTAAAATACTATAAAATATTCTATCAATCGAACTCAACGGAACAAGTTTCGCCCTGCAATCGTAGCAGATATTCATTATTATTCGTTAACGATTTGTACAATGTATGTTTATTGCTGCTTTTAGTATCCGGACTTTGAGGAATTACCTCAGAAACCGGGCCTACAAAACTGTAAGCACTTGTTGGGTGGTTAAAAATCTAAAGATAGCCGGCACTCAAATTGAGCACTCATCAGGTTTTTTAATTGAAGTGCTAGCTCATTGTTGACTTAAAGACAGCTCTACACCTACTTTTAATTAATTCGTTGGATAACTATACATTATAGCTTATTTGAGATAAGTAGGTATAGTGATCTCCATGTTTTTCTAGTTCAATAACAGCCCGCATTTAAAATGTTAAAATTTATTCAATTTATTCATTTAAATTGCTTGATCATTGTTTATTTTAGGCATTTGATATACCACCAAAGATTCTAAGAAATCAGCTTATAATTACAAGGTTTATTCAAAAAATGAAGTAAAATTATTTCTTTAAACTGCATCACTTGTTTTGTTTTGAACATGTTTTTCATAAGATTTAAAACATTTGTTTGCAAAGGTTTATATTAGTGTGTTAAACAAAGTTTATACTTGTAAATGAATTGACATAGAATTAAATGAAATACAAAAATGGATGTGTATAAAAGAATGATTCAAAAGAATTAAATATTAAAAAGAATATTCATATATTTTGATCTCTTAATTAAGCAGCTCCATACATAAGGTATATTTTTGATCTATTAATGGAGCAGTTCCACCTGTAAGGTATATATTTTAGGTATATATTTTATTAATCATTTATTTTCTATAAAGAGTATGCTTATATGTTTCCGGTTCCTTGCTATTTTAAATTTTGAACTAATTTATTCTTCTTGATCTCCTTGCAGCATTTCCACAGACACCGCGATGGCGGCCACAAACAATGATGGTGGCACACAGACCAATGCCGTGGCAGCTTGGGGAGCTCCGGCCAATGGACCGAGGAACACACAGGCCGCCGTTTCCGTGCGGCATGCCTTCAAGGCCTACGGCAAAAAGAAGAACGCCAACCAGGTGCTGAACAACCTGAACATGACTGTGCCCAAGGGAACAATGTGAGTTCCATCAATAAAAGTGAAATGTTGACAGCTCAATTTAGCGAGTTCATAAAATAGAAACGGCGAAAGTAATTAGCACCTAATGCTGACTGAACTCGAATTCGGAATTAGCACCGAATGGGCAATGCTAAGCGATTTCCTTGTGACTGCGATTCGATTGCACCGATCTGCGATTTGCGATCTGCGATCTCCGATGTCGTCTATATCAGAGGTCACTCGGTTACGCTTGCGTCTAATTGCGGCTATTATAGACGGCAAACCGGTTTAGTCGTTCGACTATCTTGCAATTGAAACGGCATTTTTGCATGATAACTCGAAGCGGCTAACGAGGGTCGTTATTAAAGTTCGTCGTCGTTGCTCTCGAATGCCGGAGATGCCCCGCAGAGCTGATCCCAATTAAGCCGCTTCCCCAACTGACGTCAATGACACGGCTAAGTCCACACGTTGTGGCAATTAATCCAAAAATCCATTCGTATGCCAGACACTCGGGTTATTCGCGATATTCTCGAATATACCGATCGATTATCGTCTGAAAGATTGCAAATGGCTGGAAAACGATATTTATGTTTGTTCGCAGACCGCAACTCATGGCACATGTGCTTAATGGCGATCCCCAAATAGACCCCTCACGGGGTTCACGAATTTTGGCAAACATTTAGGGGCCATAAAAATAAAATCGTAAATAATATTTTTTTTTTTCTTCGCCGACTTTGGCATTGATATGGCCCGAGCAGAGTTGTTATTAAATTTTGTTTCTCTTTTTCGGCATTCTGAGTGATTTATTCGCCGAATTAATGCTGTGTCGTAACGGAATTTTTTTTATCGAATTTTATTTTATTCTCTGCCGAGTGTGCAGCAGTCTTGACCCAGTTAACAGCCCGGTTCGTTCAGCTTTTTGACCTAGGTCAGGTCGCTGGGTTAGTCACTTTCGGAGGCGGCGAGTCAACGAACTGCTTTTGGGCCCTCAAAGTCAGCGCACTTACGATTGTGTCAATTAAAGTTTGGGCCCAACTTCCAGACTTCCAGATTTCGTATCGTTTATTTGGTTAAATGGCGCAGCGCTAATTATAATAATAGATTCAATAACAGGCCGAAACGTGCGACCTACGTGCTGCAATATTTTGTCAAAGGCCGAAGACCAAACGCAAAACGGACGACAAACTAACAAAGCGATAATCACAATAATCACAGCCACCAAGTTCATCATGATGATGGTGATAATGATAGGAGACTAGCCCCTCCAAAAAAAAGAGGCGGAGTCGCTTTTTGATAGAGACTCGCGGGCATTTCTTACATTTCAAGGTGAACATTTCGAAATAATTCAACTTGAACTGCTGGAATTAACATTGACATCGCCGCCGACATGCCACACTCGTATTTATTTACCCAGCCACAAATATAGTCGTGTTTATCGTGGCGACAGTTTTCGTGCTGAATTGGCACAAAGTTTTCCCCCTTGTCAGCTTACTTTTTACCTCATTGTCATGGCTGGCTTTCCAACCTCTGCGATCCCATAAAAATGATCAAGAACTTGCACTTGTTTACCTTTAAAGTCAATGAAAGTTCGTAATATAAAATTGAGTTCCCTAAAAATGTTATTTCCTATACTACCGTTTTCATGCCTTGCCAATTTGCCATTATCGTAAGTTAAGCCAGATTTAATAGCGCTCAAAAAGATATTTCCAGGTTCTAAAACTAAAGTATTTGATTGATGATCGGTCTTTGGCTGTCAGCAGAAACTGAAACTTTTGTTTACATATTTTAATGTAGGTTCTTAACCACTCCTAATTCGACGTTTTTGTATTAACCCTTTACTTTATTACCCTTTCAAAATGTAATTTATTATGGCTTGCTTCAGGAAATGTCAATGGCGAATGGGCTAGATTAACTTGGAAAACTTTATAACAATATTATAATATAACCTAATATTATTCTTCCCAGTTATGGACTCCTTGGAGCTTCCGGATGTGGCAAGACCACCCTGCTGTCCTGCATTGTGGGTCGCCGTTACATGGACGCCGGTGAGATCTTCGTGCTGGGCGGCAAACCCGGCACTCGAGGATCGGGAGTGCCCGGCAAACGAGTGGGCTACATGCCCCAGGAGATCGCCCTGTACGGGGAGTTCTCCATCCAGGAGACCATGATGTACTTCGGCTGGATCTTCGGCATGGAGACCAAGGAGATCTTGGAGCGGCTACAGTTCCTGCTCAACTTCCTCGATCTGCCGTCGGAGAAGCGACTGGTGAAGAACCTCAGTGGTGGCCAGCAGCGTCGAGTGAGCTTCGCCGTGGCCCTAATGCACGATCCCGAGCTCCTGATCCTTGATGAACCCACTGTGGGCGTGGATCCGCTGCTGCGTCAGAGCATCTGGAATCATCTGGTGCACATCACCAAGGCGGGCCAGAAGACGGTCATCATCACAACACATTATATTGAGGAGGCGCGACAGGCGCACACGGTAAGGAGTTGGTAGAGGTATTTCTAAACTATTATATAACTATTTGATATAATATATTGCAGATCGGTCTGATGCGATCGGGTCACCTGCTGGCCGAGGAGTCGCCCAGCGTGCTGCTCTCCATCTACAAGTGCATCAGTCTGGAGGAGGTGTTCCTCAAGCTGTCCCGCATCCAGAGCCAAAAGGGCGACGTGACCCATGTGAACTTCAGGTAAGGACTCCCATCTGGCATGCACCACGTGGCTAACCCGACCACCACTCTAATCACCACTCTGAACTCTCCACCTTGACTCTTCTCCATCCGACACTCGCATGCTCGCAATCTGTGTTCCACCCCATCTGTTTGTGGTTTTGTTTGGGAGTAGTAACAACATCTCGTTGCACGCCATGGCCTTTGGCAGCAAGATGGACAAGCCCAGTTCCAGTCAGGAGGGCGGCGTGGTGGGCCTCAACTTCCACCAGAGCAAGGAAGTGCTGATCAACGACAGCAATGGATCGATTTACACGGTTTGTTTTTGGGTTTTTTCTCTGTGTTTCCCTGTCTGATTATCCACTTTTTTTGGGACAGCTCAACCAGGAACCTTACAGTCCGCCGCCGTCGAGGCGCAACAACAATCCCAATGACGAGGAGAGCTGCCAGGACTGCTATGCCAACCTGTGCAAGATCACCTCCAAGGGCAAGATCCGAGCCCTGCTCACCAAGAACATGCTGCGCATGTGGCGCAACGTGGGCGTGATGCTGTTCATCTTCGCCCTGCCCGTCATGCAGGTGATCCTCTTCTGCCTGGCCATCGGACGTGATCCCCAGGGACTCAACCTGGCCATAGTCAACGGAGAGATGAACGACACGGTAAGGGTAAGCCACACAATTACACACTACTTTATTCAGGCACACCTTTGAAGTTTACTTAACAGAAGCTCTTTTTAATTTTCTTTGATTAAATGGCATTTTTAAATTTAGCTGATATTTGCGTTAAAAGATTTCTTTGAATAAGTTTCTTTAATTAAATAGATTTGATTGGCTTTTTACTTTTTTTAACTATAACGATTTAAAGAATGTATTAAAATGCACAAGAAAACATTGTGATATGTAATGACCTATTATAAATTAGTTAAATACTATTTGGAAGTCTAAAAAAAAGAGACCAATATTAAGATAAATTTCAGTTAAGGTAGCAAACACAAAACAAATGAAGACTTAAATATTATAAAACTTTAAATACCAAGCACAATTATTTTACATAAAATTAATTATAGTCTGTAACTTACTAATCTGTAACTATCCTTAGGAAAACTGCTACTGGGAAGACGGCTGCCACTTTAAGAACCTGGGATGTCGCTACCTGAGTCACCTGAACACGAGTGTGGTAAAAACGTATTATGAGGACTTGGACGATGCCAAAGAAGCTGTGAGAAAGGGCACAGCCTGGGGAGCCGTCTACATAAGCGAAAACTTTACGGACGCCTTCATTGCCCGGGCTAATCTCGGTCGCGACTCCGATGACGAGACCATTGACTCCTCCGAGGTGAAGGTCTGGCTGGACATGTCCAACCAGCAGATCGGCGTCATGCTCAACCGTGACATCCAGCTGGCCTTCAGGGACTTTGCCATGGGCCTTCTGGGGCAGTGCGGCAGCAATCCGAAGTTGGGCGACGTGCCCATTCAGTTCAGGGACCCCATCTACGGCACCATGAATCCATCGTTCACCGATTTCGTTGCACCTGGCGTGATCTTGACGTAGGTTTCGCATAGCTATTTGTTTTATGGGTGTGTCATTAATGTTTTTTTCTTATATTTAATAGTATTGTATTCTTTTTGGCTGTGGCTTTGACGTCATCGGCTCTGATCATTGAGCGCACTGAGGTAAGTCAAGGAATTAATACTTAATTGCCAGAAAAAATATTAATAACAAGTTTATTTGGTATTTCATATTAAAATATAAAAAATAGTTTTTAAAATTAAAATAAAGTTCAATTACTAAACCCCTTGCCTTTTTCAGGGCCTGTTGGATCGCTCCTGGGTGGCTGGCGTCTCGCCCTTCGAGATCCTGTTCTCCCACGTGATCACCCAGTTCGTGGTGATGTGCGGACAGACGACTCTGGTGCTGATCTTCATGCTGGTGGTGTTCGGGGTCACCAACAACGGCGACCTCTTCTGGGTGATCGTGCTGACCCTGCTGCAGGGCATGTGCGGCATGTGCTTCGGCTTCCTCATCTCCTCGGTGTGCGAGCTGGAGAGGAATGCCATCCAGCTGGCGCTGGGCTCCTTCTATCCCACCCTGCTGCTGTCCGGCGTGATCTGGCCCATCGAGGGCATGCCCGTAGTGCTGAGGTGAGTTCCGGAGGGGATTTCCCGTGCTAGAATGGAATGTAATGTTGTAATCTCCCCCAGATACATATCACTGTGCCTCCCTCTCACGCTGGCCACCTCTTCGCTGCGCTCCATCCTCACACGTGGCTGGGCGATACTGGAGTCGGACGTGTACATCGGCTATGTGAGCACGTTGTCCTGGATCGTGGGCTTCCTGGTGCTGACGCTCCTGGTGCTGCGAGCCAAGCGCGGCTAGGTCCTCCAGATATCACCCTATTTTTAGATGCCTACTTTAGATCACGATTAGTCGTCCTCGTCGTCCTAGTTAGTTTACCCCCTACTTCGGCTCCACTTCTTATCCGCTTCCGAGTTTCACTTCCTCTCGTTTCTGCCCAAAATGTCATAAATTATTTAAGCACATTCGCAGCTTTCCTTAGCTTTCTACTCGGCACTCGTTTCCCTGGGCTAAGTTTTGCACATTTCGTAGTTTAAAGCGTAAGGTTTAGGTACCTAAATGAATTGTTGTAAATATTTTTTGTGTCACGAATTCAGTAATCCGTTGCTAGATGTCCATTTCTTTTGCAACCCTCTGTACAAGACCTTTTCTCCATTCCGGAACGGGCGATTTATTCCACACACAACTATTTTTATATATTTTTCAATGGACTGTGATTGTTTTTTCTACATAATTCACGCGAATACACGTAGGGCAAGCATAAAAAAAATGAAAAAGAAAACACAATGAAAAGCGAACAAAAACAATGGTGGGTTTTGTTAATAACATTAAGTAGCTTAAAGCATTTTTGTATGGGTTTAAGTTTTTTAAGGTAAAACATAATTAAATACAATAATGTACACTACCCTAAAGAGTATGTAAAGAAATCTATTTCAGGAAATATTATGCGCTGAGCATAAGTATTTCACAACGAACAAAACAAAAGACAATGAACAACGAACAAGTGAAAAAACGTTCTTATTTAAGTAAACCATTAACTATGTGAACGCAGTTATGTATAAATAATAATAATAATAAAACGTAAATAAAAATCAACGGTTGGTTGTTTTATTTAATCACATAAATAAATTCAAATGAATTCTTGGTTTATTGGATTTGCTATTTAAAAATGTATTTTATGGGGGAGATTTGCTTATCCATAATTTTTTATGCAAATGAGACAGAAGTTTTTGTCTTTTTTGTTTTTGTTTTTAGATTTTTCAAATCTATTTTAAGACATAACGAATTTTTTTTAAAACTACCATTTTGCTAATATTATAAGCAGTGTCACGGTTGACACTTTTCTCAGCAAGCAGTGGATGTTAGCAGAGACACCAACCGCCTTAACATTTATTTTAAGATAACGTTAAATTTTAACATTTAGTGATGGAAAAACAGCAATTCCCTGGCAACCATCGATATAACCGATGCTTTGAGAACAAACAAATCAGCTGGTTAATCATAACAAAAAAGCGATGTTTTTGTGTGTTGTTTTATTATTTTGTAAAAGCGTTTGTTAACGTTTTTAAGGCAGCGAAATGGATAAATCCAGGTCCAGTGTCTACGACAAGTTCGCTGGCTTCGTGGAGCAGCTGCGGAACACAGAATGCAGGTGGGATTTTATCTGGATTTGTTTGTTTTGGGTTGCATCGAATGTTTTGGGGAGGGGACCGGCAACAGTTTGTTGCTCATTACGGAATAATATTGATTAAATAGCGACTGCAAGCCGATTTCCGAAGAGTAATTGACCCCCTAAATGGTCCAGCTATCTGATTACTCTGCCAAAACATTCGTTCAACAAATAACAAGTGCATCCGCTATGACGTCATGCCACATACCCGCATCTAAAACTAATTGCCTGAAATGCCCACAGTCAAAAGCAGAAGATCACCTGCTTCCAGCAGATTGCCGAGTGCATCATGTCGCCTTCGCTGGCGGGACACATCAACTATGCGGCCCACTGCGGCACGGCCATGAATGTCCTGCTGCTCTTCTGCGAGGATGTGGACTCCGTGGTGCGGATGAGTGCCGAGGAGAACCTGAACAAGATCCTGCGGGCTCTGGAGAAAACCCGGGTCAGCCGCATCCTTATGGATCTTTATGGGGAGATCAAGAGAAATGGTAACCAGAGGTAAGCCTTTAAATCATCACAGCATCACATGTTCTAAAAAGTAACTCTTTACAGATCCTTAAGGATTTGCCTGAACCTGTTTTCCTACTATGCCCCGCAAATAAAGGAAAAACACATCAAGTGGTACGCTGTGAGATTGCTGCAATGCATGACCACCATTTCACAGCGCAAGGAGACACTGCTCCAGGAGACACTCTGCGATTTCGTCAAGCACTTTGGCCACTATATACAGCAGGGTCTAAGCGATAGTGAGATTTGCAATCTATTTGAGGTCAGACCTTTGTCCATCGGTCAGCTTAATACATTACTAAACTCATTGTTGGATTTTTTAGACTTTTCTGGACAATATTGGCTCCGATTGTGCCGTAAAGCGACGGTGCTCGGCCCAAAATTGCATCAGTCTGATTGAGCATGCACGCAATAGGAGCCTCATGGCCAGACACGGAGTCAACAAAGTGACGGGTACGTGCAGCGAGAAAAGGAAATGAAGCTTTTGTCGGGAATGCAAAAAAACACTTTTGTTTCTATTTGTTTATTTTTAACTGGAGAGCTCGGCTTCTTAATTGCTAAAGCCTCTAGATACCAAGAAATATTTCTAAGTTTGCGATGATTTCTAAAAATGTCACAAACAATTGGACTTCCAGAGTCCATAACTTTACCAAATCTAATCAGATTTCAAAGTGACATACCTCTAAAGTCTTGTGGATTCATTCTCTAAAAATCTGCATTCAAAATTTTTAATTTAACGTTGATCAAATTTTGGACTCATTTTCATGTTAGATATTTCCAAGTTTCCGATGATTTGTAATGAGTTGACCCAAAATTGGATTTCCAGACTCCATAACTTTACCAAATTTATTCCGATTTCAAAGTGACATACCTCTAAAGACTTGTGGTTTCATTCTCTAAAAATCTGCATTCAAAATTTTTAATTTAACGTTGATCAAATTTTTGACCCATTTTCATGTTAGATATTTCTAAGTTTCCGATGATTTGTAATGAGTTGACCCAAAATTGGATTTCCAGACTCCATAACTTTACCAAATTTATTCCGATTTCAAAGTGACATACCTCTAAAGACTTGTGGAATCATTCTCTAAAAATCTGCATTCAAAATTTTTAATTTAACGTTGATCAAATTTTGGACTCATTTTCATGTTAGTTATTTCCACGTTTCCGATGATTTGTAATGAGTTGACCCCCAATTGGACTTCCAGACTCCATAACTTTACCAAATTTATTCCGATTTCAAAGTGACATACCTCTAAAGACTTGTGGAATCATTCTCTAAAAATCTGCATTCAAAATTTTTAATTTAACGTTGTTCAAATTTTGGACCCATTTTCATGTTAGTTATTTCCAAGTTTCCGATGATTTGTAATGAGTTAACCCCCAATTGGACTTCCAGACTCCATAACTTTACCAAATTTAATCCGATTTCAAAGTGACATACCTCTAAAGACTTGTGGTTTCATTCTCTAAAAATCTGCATTCAAAATTTTTAATTTAACATTGATTTAATTTTGGACCCATTTTCATGTTAGTTATTTCCAAGTTTCCGATGATTTGTAATGAGTTAACCCCCAATTGGACTTCCAGACTCCATAACTTTACCAAATTTCGAAAGTTCGTGTTCGAATTCGAAAAAAAGAATTTATTCATATTCTTGTTATTCTTATTGTTAAACGATTGAACAGTATTAGTTGAATTAATGCAACAATTTAAATGCCAACAGAGTGGTTATGAAAACAATGGTAATTTTTAATCGCCATACGTAAGACCTTCTAATTTGAAAACACTCCCGCTCTCATAAAAGCCTTTATTGTTCGTCCAGTTTTTGTCCAGATTTGGATAAACTAATCCACAAGTCGGTGTTATTGCTGTTAGTTATTTAACGCATTTACGCTTCGAACACGTCCAACAGAACGCTCTTTATATTCTCATCAATAATGAAAGTGGTGTTTAAAAAGCGTGTAACGGCCAAATGCTAAGCCTCACATAGATCTGCATATATATTGTTGGGCATGCTCGCGCTATTGGTAAAAAATATTTTTAATATTCTAAAAAGCCGCAAAATCCATGAAAAATACCTTACCAAAATATAAAGCCATCGAACTGCAAACTACGTGAACGGGGGAAAGATGGTTTAGGGATTTATTCAGACTCGAATAGCGAATGCAATCACAGCCATGGGTTTGTTTGGATGTGGTGTGTGGGTGCAGCACAATAAAAGTAACTAGACAGTTGATATAAATTATATTTCTACATTGTTGTTGGTTACCGCTCGCAATCGATGGACGAGCCATCGAATATATATAAATTTTTTGTAGATCTGTTTTGATTTTAGACAACGATAGCGGAAAGTTTTTATTTTAGCATTTGCTGACTGGCGGACTGCAGCAATAACTGCAGCGGGAAAAAACAAAAGTCATAGCAACGAGTGCCACGTGAAAATGCTTAAAAATTGCAAACACAAATCATTTTTTATTGAATTTTCATGAAAATATTATTGGCAAACGTCGACGAAGAGGTAAATGCACCTTAGTTACAGTTTCCATAGCTTTTTTATGAGCTGCACTGAAAATCGACGTCCAAAAATGTTATAAATAAACTTCACATGAGATGTCTGAGTATTGCATTTGCAAACAATTAAAGTGAGAAGCCTCGGCTGAAAAACTAATTCATTTACTCGGATTACTTTTCATATATGGCAGGCAGTCTAAATTCTAACCTCACCTGAGTTCATATAAATTAAGCTTCGACTTGACTTTACCTTTGCTCTTTTCTTGTCCAAATGTTTACCTTCAAATCAACTCCTTTAGCTCCTGTTCCTGGCCCGACTGCCCCTTTCCCTGCCCCTTCGGCTGCTCTTCTAGTCCTGTGTCAACGTTATGCCACTTCTCGGCAAAGGCACAATGCCAGGCAACTCTTCAGCGCATCCTTATACAGTCTGGCGCCTCTTTTTATGGGCACCCATCACAGCGGCAGTACTTGGGCTGCCTGTGTCCTGGCATCCCGGCATCCCAGCATCCTGGCAGCCCGGCATGCCCCAACAAACAGACACAAAGTACGGCCCTGGTCCTCTGAACAGGGATCCTAGACCTCAGGCCCGCCCCCGCCATCTCCGTTTGTTTGTCTCCGCCCGTAGACGAAATGAAATTTATGCACTTGGACACTTCCATGCAATAATTCATGCGAAATTGAATCAGATATTCATTCCTGTGCAGCTTTAAAGCGGATAATCAACGTTGTAAGCAAATGCCGCCGAACGAGGGCACCAAAGCCAACAGCTGCAAAAGGGAGCATGCAAAATTTATGTTGCCCACCGACTGATGTCAGGCTAAACAAAAAGAGCAAATTATTTTTCATGTTAGCTGTGGCAGCATAAATAGCCAAATGACCAATTCATTCTCTGAAATCGCTGCAGCCCGTTATGAAAATTTACTTTATGTTTGCTGATTGTCCAACTGGTGGAGGATGTCAAAGTAATCAAAGTTGCATCACTTTCCTATTCAAATCATTTGCATTTGGGAAATCTGAGGCAAATATACATTGTTCGTAAAATGCACTATGTGAATGAAAACTTAAACTTTATCCTTGGTTTCGATTTAAAGCGTTTTGAGATCCTTTCTCCAATTACCTACTCCCCAATAAGTAGATCTCGCACTAAACACCTTTCGGAACGTGCTCAGCATGGAGCCTCCTCGCCCATTTTGGGCTCGCCAATTTTGCAGAAAGTTTCTGCGGCTTCTGCCGCAATTAATTGATACACATGGAAACAGGCCGCAAGTTGTGCTCGGCAAAGTCACTTGGCTGCCATGAGGGCCATGTAAAAAGTTTCTCCGGCGAGAAGTGTTTTCAATTTTGCGCCCCAAAGGAAGAAAATGAAAACTAATTGAGTAACAAACTTCCAACATGGCGTTTTGTGATTGGTGGCGTATACGTAATGAAACGACAAATAAGCGGAGACAACAAGAGCAAGAACTGCGGGAGGTCCCAGTGGGTGGGTGCATGTGTGCATAGTCTATAAATATCAGATGGAAAGTTTTCAACGAGATAAATTTAATTGGAGGCAATTTGTTGCAAAACATATGAGGGAAAAGTTGCCAAGAACACGAAAGAAGTATGAACTGCAATTGGCCGGCCAACGCAAAAGTGGGTGAAGGTATTGCTTTGGCATTGCCTTGGGTATCTGGCATTGGTATCGGCTTCAGTATCGGTATCTGAAGCTTGCTTATTGAGCAAATTGGAATTGCCAGCGCACGCTGCGCAAAAAGTTTGAAGAGCGTTTTTAATTTGTATCAACAGCAGCCATAAGTTTCTCTCCATTAACTAACTTATCCCCTTATCCGCTTTGTTTTCATCCCCAGAACTCCTGCTGACGGATCAGCAAACCAGCAGCGTGCTGGGGGCCCTGGGGCTGTTGCGTCTCCTGCTGCCGCAACTCATACGCGGCTACTCCACCGATAGCCACGAGGATTCCGAGTCCTTGGCCGGGCAGCAGCAACAGCAGCAGCAGCAGCAGAAGAAGCAGCAGCAGCAGCAGACAACAACCTCCGACTGTCGGCAAATTATTGAAATTTATGATTATTGTTTGCACCTGCTGAGCACGCAGCATACCACGAATCACGCCATCATAAATGCCACCCTGGAGGTCATCAACGGCATACTCCAGGCGCTGGACGCCCCCACCGATGGCCAATGCCACGGCAACCAGAGTCTGGGCCAAAGTTTGCGCCAACTGTTGTGCAATCAACAACTGCAGCACAATGAGTATTTGCGGCGAAGGAAATCATTAAAGAATCAAATATTCCAATTGAAAAATTACGAAGTGGCGACAAGTCAACAGCAGCTCGAGGATGAGGATGAAGATGAGCTGGCGGATTGGGCCACTGCAATGCAAATGAAAAAGAATTCAAATGCAAAACTGCAGCAGGCAAAGTGTCAACAGCAGCAGCATCACCATCACCATCAGCAGCAGCAGCAGCAACAACAACAGCAACTCGGGGATGACAGCAGCTCGCTGGGAATTAATGCCGGGGAAGATGCCTCGACCGAGGCTGCAAGTTCCGTCGCTGATGAAGGTATGGCAAATAAGGCAGAATGCAAGTCGAGATGGCTTGTGGGTTTGCGAGTGTGTGCGCGCAGTCATGTGGAAATGTGACATGCTGACAGAGGATCAGAGGAGAAACTGGGGGACGGGGGGGCATGGGGGACAAACCAAGCGGCAGACAGACCATGCCGAAATCAAGAAAATTGAGCAATTGCACAGGCTGATGGAGACACCCACACACAATGCACATATGAAAATTATTAGTGCATGCTTTTAGGCGGCACATGCAGGAACGAGGTCAGGCCAAATTTGCATTTGCATTTGCCGCCAGCGGAATCCTGCACAAATATTTACACAAATTGTAAGGCTAACCCATACCCACACCCCCACACCACCACTTTTTGCATTTTCCAGGGGGAGAGGCAGCCAAGCAGCGCTGCCACATTAGGAATGCCGCACGCAGCATCAGCGAGTGCGTTGCCACGGACGAGGACAAGCAGGGGCAAGGACAACACCAGCGGCAGGACGAGGATGATGACATGGAGGAGGATGACGACATGGAGCTGCTGAGTGCCGAGTGTGATGACTTCACAACCCTGTCACAACTAAATGAACAACAGGCGCCGTCAGCGGCATTGCAATTGCCCGCAACAACTGCAACAACAGCAACAGCAGCAGCATCGCAGAACGATAAACTGATTGATGTTGATGCCGATGTCGGGGGGCTGTCTAAACCGCAGCATCAGTCATCTCTGCAGAATCTGCTCGCCGGCAGCGATGACAAATCCCAGCATTTGAGTGACATCGACAATGAATCTTTCAACAGCATCGATTTCGAAGCCGAAATCACAATTGCCGGCAGCAAAGAGCAGCAGCAGCAGCAGCAACAACATCCTTTGGCGACGGATGATTCGGCGGAATCCGGCGATGCAACAGCAATTGGCACATTCTTCAACAATCTGCTGTCGCATTCGAATGCAGGTGAGCCAGCCATAACTATGAATACATACATATATAGCGAACAAATATTTCATTAGCAAAGTTCAAAGTCAGCGAAGCAAGTTCAAAACTATTTCCATTCGATGTTATTGCATTTCACGGTCTACCGCAGTCGCCACCAAGTTCTATTTTCCCTCTCTTTTGATTTTTGTTTTTTTGCGCCAAACAATTTCGCATTTATTTGCAATATTCGGGCGGTATTCGATGGCATTATTTGCATAATTGCGGCAGAACAGCAGACGTGACTCGCAGGCAAGCAGTTCTCGATTGCCAATTGCACTTGCGATTTAATGAAGCGTAATTGTTGCCGCTGCAACTCTCCCCAAGGTTGGTAAGCAAAATTAGGCAATTTGTGCTCAAGGTTTGGAATCTCAGAAGGAGAAATTTTATTGGAAATAGCATTTAGGGCTACAAGATAAAAAAATTGATGTTAAATGATCATCAACTGGCATTTAATTGCTTGAAAAAACATGATGTTAGCTGTATCTTGCTTTAAAATAAATACAAATTATTCAGTAAGGATTTCCCCTTCGTTTTCACATCCGCGTGCCTTAGCAATCTCTTCGTTAGCTTTTAGCCCGTCACTCGACTTGGTTGCGAAAACATGGGCAAACAAAGCACTTCCCTCCAATTGCAATGCTGTTTATTTCCATTTCATTGCATATTGATTGCATTGTCCTTGATATAATTTATTTTAATATTTAAATCGCTTGCTGCTCGACGGGCTGGAGTTACGGGCGCGGGCCAAGTGCATATGTGCCACACTTTTCCCCTGACCTACAAACGAGGAAGGAAGAGTGGCAGACACGATGCCAGACCCATGTCCTGTCGTTAGTTAGTGCGCGGGGGTGGGGGCTAGTAATAAACAAAGGAAATGTACTGCACTGAGCCGGAAGTACTAATTAAGCGAATGAGTTGTGGGCGGAGAAGAGAGTCCTGCGATGGGGGCATAAAGACAAGTGGTCGGACGGTTGCGGGGGGGTGCGTATAAAAAGCCACATCTACTTGACGTAAATGTTGGGGCTTAAATCCGGCATTTCTTCCGAGCGTGTGTCTGTGTGTGTGTGTGTGCGAGGGATGCGGATTAAGCTTGAAACATGGCAATGCATTTGCGCTGTGCGATGGCCCCAAAAGTCCGCCCACCACCGCGCCAACCTCATTGCTGGTTTTCTTGTGCCGCCACTGCCACTTGGCCAAAGCATCACACTGCAAGTTGGCAACAAAGTGGTTAAGACAAATGGGTTACGTGATAAAATGCGGTTACTCAAATTGCATGTATGCAAGCTTACATGTTGTGTCACAGTATACGTGTGTGTTGTTGGCGGGGGTGTGTGTGTGCGTGTGTGCCGTGTGTGTTACGGGTGTGTGTGTGTACGGGTTTATTTAGCATTGCCAGGAACAGTCAGCCAAAACGAGAGGAGCCAGCCATCAGTTGCTGCACTTTGCCTGGTCCGCGTTTAGCTGTTTTTATTTTCGTCCTTTCCATCGCCTGCTGCTGTTGCTATTGTTGTTGCCTTGTTGCTGTTGTTGTTGTTATCCTTTCTGGGCCATATTAGTTGTTTTTGCAATTGTGCACTTATGCGCTATCAGCCTTTTTGCGCTGCTTTGCTCGTCCGTCCGCGGTAGTTATTGCCGCTTGTTTGTTTTTTGTTTTTTTATAAATATGTACATACAAATATGTTGCGATATATATGTGCCTCAACCACAGCCGCAGCCACCCGTCTTTATCTGCATTAGAGCCCCGACGATTAGTGTACTCTAGCAAGGACTCTTGGGACACACTCTTGAGATGTGATCTCTTCGAAGAAATAAAACATATTTTTGACTTTTAAATTTAATTCTTTCCCTGAAATTATAATATTTATTTAATAAACCTTTAATAAACCTTGATTGCAAACCAACAAATTCATTTAGTTAGTTAGTTATTTTTACTAGACTTTGGTACATCACTTTTGCAAATAAAAAATTACCTTTTTAAGAAATCAAAATATCTTAAGATAGTGAATCTAGACTTTCATTGTGTTTAGGTCATGCATCTTACCATATTTTCATAAACAAATTTTTTGCGACTTGCCGTTCTTGTCTTTCCCCTATTTTTTTGTTCTTTCCTCTCGCTACATCCACATATGTAACTTCGGCTGTAAAAACCATTTGCATGTGTGCTAGTAAGCGGAGAGGTTTGCCCGTCTGTGTGGCAGGCATAAAGTAGCAGCCACGAGTCCTTCCCCCATCGGTTTTTCCGACCAGCCCGCGTTTCCTACGCGGTTTTCATTGTCGTCTAGTTTGGGGTTTTGTTCCTTTCTTTGCTTATGCGCTTCAAAGTTTTATTTGCCCATTTTTGTGTGCTCCATTTTTTGTTTTTATTTTCAACGTGATTTTACAATAAAAAAGAAAACACTCGACAGAAGTTGCAGTGCTGCTGCCGTTTTCACTTTTATGGAGGCGAAACTATTAAAGCATAAAATGGGAGCCAAACCCCCGGCAAAACCCCAAACATAATTACTGGCGAGTGTATGAGCGTGAAAGTTCCATAAAACTGCATGCAGGGCTCTCAGATTTCAGGGCACTTTTATGAGCGTTGAGTTTTCGCTAATTTGAGGGAATGCTAATGTAATTCAAATTGTAATTTTGGTAAATCTGTATCTGAAATACGGGATTACTACATGCTCATTACAAGATGTGCTGATTAAAGTCAACTCCGTCATCGAGTGAATTCATGAGCTAAGTCTTAATAATATGGGTACGATTAGTATTGATTCTTCACATGATGTCCGGGTGAAACACAAATTTAGGGAAAGCTAATTAAATGGAGCTTTCGATTTTTGGTAGTTCTGTAAACAAGTTGTTGGATTACCACTCCTAGTTCAAGAATGTGCTGAAACACTGATCAGCCTTCCTCCACAGTTTATCTCCCCCGAACAATACATGCGAGCACTTTGTCCATAAAGTGCTCTGCTGCTTCCGTTGGCCGCAGTCGCAATCGTGGTTGCTCTAATTTTTACAACGCTTGCATGCGGCCGGAACATCCATTAGAACAATAACAAAAAACAACAACAGCGAAAGCCACAACAAGTGCATCTAAAAGATGCAGCCATTTTTAACCCACTTAAGTGGTCAGTGGGGAAAGCGAGTGGCTGCACTAAACTCGTACTTTCCATGAAATTGAAGTTTTCAATTAATTTTCAATACAAGATGGAGAGCCAGGAAGTTTTCCCGCGGCGGCAAGCTAATAGAACAACATAAAAAGCAGCTAAGGAAAATAGTTTTAGCGGTTTTACCCACACACACACACTCTACCCACTTCCTTTGCTCACAAAGTTTGCCCACGATAGACGAATGTGCCCGGTAATTGGCCGTCTGGAGTGGCCGCAAATTAGCCAACGCCATCGCTGGCATTAGTGTCAAACCAAGTTATCTGCTAGACCTTCGACGGGGCGCACTAACTCTGGGCTTTTGTGCTTGCAGCCTCGGAGTCGGTCAGTAAGCTCTTTCGTCAATCAAGCGGCTCTAAGTCCACGCCCTCCAAGTCGGCTCCTGCCGACAAATCGGATGCCGTCTCGACGGCCTCGCTCACGCTTTCGCTGAGCTCCTTGGCCAGCAGCAACATGGAGCCGCTGGAGCGGCAGCCCTCGATTGCGGAGACGCCCACGCCCGTGGAGGACTCCTGTTCGATGACCGCCTCCCACACGGCGTCCACGGCCCTCATGGTGGATACTCCGGCACTGGAGGTGGCAGCTGCTAAGCCCGAAACACCGCAGTTACGAAGCACGCCCAACGGTAAGTCGCTGGCTGCCGCACCTAGGAGCCACTAATTAGAAGCTTTATCTCCGCAGCTAATCCCTTTCTAGTGGAGAACTCGCCGCTTCGACAGACAGTTGTCGGTCGTGCCCTGATCACCGTGAAAATTGGCAGCATCCTGGAGCAGTCGTTGGTGTACTACACGGCTCGAGTGGTGGCAGCCCGTTTTCTGCTCAGTGGACAGGCGGCGGGATTACAGCCGGATAGCATCAGTAGGGTTTCCATCAAGAGCCTCTCCCTGGCCGTGATTGCCCAATGTGTGCGACTGGCGCCGAGGGTTCTCCAACTGGGCCTGGAGATCAGCGATCGGGAACTGCAGTGGCTGGCAGAGACCAGCTCTCAGGCGGTCAGTGGTGACAGCACTCAGGTGTCCAGTCCCCAGAGCAGCGATAACTCGCAGCTGGGCGGGGAGAAACCGTCGCTGGAAAGTCCGCTAATACAGGCTGGTCTGGAGGAGAGTCTGCTCTTGCTGGACATCAAGGACGATCACTTTGGCCCCAGCACCTGCCCAGCTTATCTGCAGCAGGCCACGCCTACTTTAAGCCGCAGCGCAGACGCTTCTATTCTGCTACTTGGAGGAACCTCTTCATCGCAGGCTCTAAAGATATCGGCTAATGAAGAAAAGCTCTCCAAGTCAGAGATCATTGGCAGCTCATTTCGACCCACGGTAGCAGCTGAGGATGTGCCGCCATTGAGTCTGCCGCCACGCCCACCCAAGCGCACAAAGTCAACGCGCAGTCGAGCGGGTTTTACTGGATCATCTTCCTTATCCGGGATTCCTTCAAACCAAAGATGCCAGGCGCTTTCGGATGTGCTGCTCTTTCATGATCACTGCGATCCCATCCTGCGAGGAGGCGTGCAGCAGGTTGTGGGCTATTTTCTGCAATCCAGCGGAGCAGGACTATTTCTGGAACTCCAACGTAATCTGGGCCTGCAACACTTGTTGGCCATTTTGCTGAAGGTGAGTGCGTCGATAACCTCGAACACGGTATTTGCACAAAGCGTTTCATAGCCAGAGGCACTCTGTAGAAAGTTTCTTTAATGGGTACCTCCCACCTGCCGGAGCTCGGTTAATGGTAAGCCACATTACATGTATGCTAACCCGCTTTGTATATCTGGCGCTATATCTTTGTCATGGAACGCCCACTTGCACTCCCTTCCACTTTCGCCATGTTACTCCATTTTCTTTCCTGCGTTTGCATAACGCATACGCCACGTAGAACGACAGAATATTTGCTTTACCCTTTAAAGGGTATGGAGACTTAGTAAGGAGGTTAGTTTCGTTTTAAAATATATATTATAAACTCTTCATTACTAGAGCCATCAATGAGATAAAAAGCTTAAAACTTGGGGTGCATCTAATAAAGCATTCATTTAGGAATTTCGCTTTAGAATTTATAACTCTGAGAGCATTCCAGCTTCGTCTTATAGACTATTATATACCAGTAGCGTAGCTTACCCTCTTTCTTACCCTCTGCGCAAACATTCTATATCTATAAATATGTGCCCCCACCTTTTCGCTGTACTTTTTTCTATGTTAAACCATCAAGCTAACATATTTTAACACATGCAGGCAAACACACACGGACACGGACACGTGTCCATATCAATGGCTGCTGCCTTTTGAATATTTTCCCAGCTCCGACCACCAACTCAAGCCAGTTGCAGTTTGCAGTCGGAGCTTAGCCGGCGGCATTTTGTGTGGTTGGTTGTTTTTCATTTGAAAATAAGAAAGAAAATTCTTATCGCCTTCGCAATGTGCAAGTGCAAATGCCCCTAAAGGGAGCAGCGCATCCGCTGCCATCTTACTTTCTCCTCGTCCTCATCCGCCATGTCCTGCCCTGCCTTCCGGTATGCAGAATGTGCGCATAAGTTGCACATTGATTTCTGTCTGGGGATTGGCCGTGGCAGTAAGTTGGGGCTCCAGTGCGGGGCTGGTTTCTTATTGAATTCAATAATTTAGTGGCCAGCGCTGAACATTTAAATTGCTGCTGGCTTGCTGGCCTCCCCAAAAGTGCAATTTGATTATGCAATGTTGTTGCAGGGAGATGCACGCGCAGATGAGGGCAAAAGGGATGGAATAGGACGCAGGACGTGCTAGCTGAAAATCACATTAGATGCCTGCTACATAATGGCTGCAAATCCGTCTCAATGGCACTTGCCAGCATACCAAAATTGGAGCCAAAACGAGATGGGGAACGGGCAGATCTTCCCTGGAGCAGGCCATGCCGGGCCAAAGGCAAAGCAACTTTGATAACAATAGCCCTTTGGCCGGGTCTTCGGCTAGGAAAAGCTTGTTAGAGATTCGTTAAAAATGCACACACTCTCAGATGGATGCCCGGATAGATGGCTAGATGGCAGGGTGGCGAAGGGATGCCTGAGAGCTGGCCACTGTGTGATTGTGGAAAAACTTTTTGCTTGTGCAAACAATAAAACACAAATTCGCTTAGCCAACGTCTCGTTTTGGCCGTCTTATGCCTGTTCTTGAGACCCTGTATAAAGAAATTTAGCCGAAAAACTTTTTGCTCTTCTCCACTTATTGCAGGGCTTTGAGGACGAGATCCACACAGTGGTTATACAAGCGTTGAATGCATTCGATAAGATATTTCCGCATGTGGTGTCCAAATATTTGACAGAGCCGCCATGTCATTATCATGCTCATCAGCAGCAGCAGCAGGACAAGGAGCACAAGGAGCAACAGCAGGAGCAGGAGCAGGACCTGCAACGACATTCAAGTGGACAACAAAAGCGTCCGGGCCAGGCGCAAACATTTGGCCAACAAACTTTTGCAAAGGACCAGGATAATGCCTTAAGCAGTCGACGGCAGCAACAAAGGGGTCCTAACGATGCCGGGACATGTGCCAACTCCTCGGCCACTGATAATGATGAGCTACTGGCTGCTCTTTTGAATGATTTCCAATTGCGATCGACTGGCATGCAGCAGCATCGGCAGCAGCAGCAAAAGAATAATGGCAGCGGCACTGGACAGCTGGGTAATGAGCCCGATCCCGATCCCCATTCCGATGCCCAAACCGAACCCCAACACGAACCCTTCTGCGTGTTTGCCATCTCGCCCAAATTGCTCTTGAGCAAACTCCGGCTCTGCCATCACAATAAATATTGGCTGGTCCAGAATAAATACGCCGAAGTTATTTCGAATTTAAATTACGTGCTGCTGCGGTCGTACTACGCAAATTTTCGTTGCGGCTTCGACAACAAAAACAGCGGCGCCAAGGAGCAGGACTCGAGGAGCAGGACGAAGGATGCCTGCGCTGCTGGACGGGATGCGGAGGCCGAGGACATTGTCTGCACTTATGAGGTAAGCAGCTAAACCGTCTTATTACAGCCGGGCCCGCTGGCAGTTCGCCGCTGCTCTCCAGCTTGTTTATTGTGCAGATTATTTTGCGAGTGTGTTTTCGCCCAGCTCCCGAGCATCGCAAAGCAATTCGAGTGCCGGGCGCTCCTCTGACAACTCTTATTGAACATTTGTGCACTCAAGTGTGTGGCTGGGGCTCTTTGTGCATTCTGCAGGAGACTGTGGAGCGCATCCTGCCGAATGTCGAATGCCTCGTGCCTCATGCCGCATGCCCCGTGCCGCATGCATCGTCGACTAACGGACTGACTGACAGGCAGCTAGCAGAGCTTCGGGGTTTTCCGTGGCGCTCGCACATATATTTGTTTATTTATTATTTTGACAAAGCTAAGCAATTTACTAAATGGCACAGAGAGGGAAAACGTACCTCAACTCGAGAGTCTGCAAACAATCGAGGAAAAAGACGATTGACGGATCAAACTGAATACGAAGAAAATGTAATAGCATGAAAAGAGCTTAACTGGTGCGCCTCCCTTCAATCGAAATTTAGTATTCCAATCGCAGTTGCAATTATGGTTGACTGTGTTTTCACAAAGTTCAAAACTTAGGCTTCAGTTTGTTCACTTAGAAAAATTGGGTTTTAAATAATAACTATTTTAATTTCTAAATAAATTAATATTTAAAAGATAATACAAATTAAACTTTAATTTATTTGATAAGTACATATTCCTATTTATAAATGCTCATTTAATGAAGTATGGATTTTGATTCTGCCTTATATTGAAAATCCCAGATCAGTGCCATCATATTTCCTCCAGTGTTCTACGTTCTAGGCCAAATCGACTAGGCGAACCGCATCTGCACGGGCATTCGAAACTGCCAAACTGCATAATGAAAACTTGGCTCACTTTTTGATTTACAACGTGCCGTCAACTGACTCAAAAACACTTTGCTCCCCTTGCAGGCGCAGTTTCTGGCTGAACTTTTACATCTGCTCGGCGACGATGATGCGCGGGTGCGGGAACATGCCGCCTGCTGTCTTTGCCGCTTTATAATGCAAACGGCGCGCCAGGAGCCACCGGCGAACAAGGATGCGGACGATGGAGGACGAGGAGGAGGCCAAATCGAAGGCAATGGCAGTGGCAACGTCAACGTGGAAACTCAACAAACTAATTTCAATTTGCTGTGGGATTTTTTCGACTATCGCATATTTGGCAGCATGTCCGTGACGTTGCGTAATTTATTCCGGGCCAGTTCGACGATTGTGCCGCCGCTGGCTGAGTTGGATGCATTGCCCGCCTACGCCTCGGCCTCCCCGGATTCTGGCAGCACGTCCATGCTGGCGATGGGGGGCAACTCCTCGGGATCGGCATCTGCCTCATCGGCATCCGCAGCGGCAGTCTCCGCGGCGTCGGCCTACTTCGAGGCAAGTTACGGCGTCGGCATCGCCGAGGGGCATGTTTTTGCCCGTCAAATCGCGCAGGAGGAAAAAGTTTTGGCCAAAGTTTTGTATCGCTTGACAAATAAATTGATGACGCTGAATGATAAAAATGTGCAGGTAAATATTTGTGTGCCCAGTCCGCCCAATCGAACTGAACCGAATCGAATCGAATCGAAGGGAATCGACCAGACCACACTCTCACCCTCATCCTCCCCTTTACAGTTTGGCATAATTTACGCTCTGCGCCTCCTGCTGAGGCACTTCAATTTCGTGGACTATCAACAGGCCTGGCTGGAATTCAATTTCGTTGAAATTTGCATTAGCTATGCCTACTACAACAATGCAACAGCTGCCGACCTCAGTTGCCAGAACGATTTGATTGATGTGATGGGCAAATTAATGGCAGGTGAGTTGGGGGGCGGACCCGATCGCAAAGGGGTTTTCGGGGCGGGTCACTCTGTTATTTCCTTGCAAGCGGCATACGTATTTCAGCAGTAATGGCAGACATTCGCATTCATACCGAATTAATTCATGGCTGGCTGGCGTGCTTGATGATTTCTCTTGCGCGCCTGACTGCCTTACCGATATTTCCGATATTTATTGGATTTATTTGACTGGGCCTGTTGGGCTGTTGGCGCTTTGTGGCTCGTTTGGCTAATTTAATTTCAATGGAATTACAAAAACAGTAATTTTTAGTCTCAGACTGCATATTTAATTGCATTATGCTGTAATGAATGCTGCGGCAACGTTTGCATAAATCATTTTAATTAATTGTTTGTCATTAAATAGATTTGCATAAATATTTTCATGCTGCGGTGTAAGTGACTGGGCACAGTCTATTTTTTTAGCTGTTATTATTTTTAAATTTAATCAAGAAAAACGGGAAATTAGCATAAATGGTTTTAAATTTCCGTTGCACTAAATCTTTTTATACATAGCCACCAAAGAATTGACAATTAAAAAATCGGAAATTGTGCTGCACATTGTAAATTGGTCGACAGCAAATACACTTTAACGAATTTAATTGTAATATAAATTATTCAATTGATATGGCAAACATTTTGCCACATGTATGTGACATGCAGACAAAAGCATTCTTTATTGGCGCTGTAATAGGCTTTAGTTCAAATTTAATTTGGCTATTCTTTTATTTATAAAAAGAGTTTACATTCATCAAAACCTCTGACCAGCATAAATAAAAGAATGTAAACTGCATTTGGGGTTAAATTTGTTTTCAATGTAGCTGGGTTTTTTTTTAATTTAATATTTTTCAACAGCATCATTAACAAAGTGCATCTAAAAAATACCAGCAACTGTAACAACAGCGGCAGCAGTAACGTAGATAGTGCGCTAATAAACATTTCAATTCAATTTACGAAATGTTTATAGCACGCAACAAAAAACGCAAACACAAAACCAAACTTCAACTCAATTTCATTAGTGCATTTCACGACCGCCAACCATCGAACTCCACCCTTCACCAGATCGCTCGACGTGCATTAGGATGCTATAAATTTTAGGGACATTATGGGGCAAAGAAGGGGAGTGGGGGTTGGGGCAACGGCGACAGGCTCTTTATTATTTATCATGCTTGCCGCGTATTTGCTACGCGCTAATGTAATCCACCATAATCAAAAAGTAATTAAATTATTAATAAACCATTAAATGTTAAACAATTTTTGTGTCAGTGGCGTCGGCTGCTCCCACACCCCTCCACTCACCTAACCCACTTGCTATTACAATTTGCATTTGCATTTGTGCCGCTTGCATGCGTTGCACATTCAACAATTTAATATTTAAGTCGTGTGTACTTATGCGGCTGTGTCCGTGTGCCACGCGTATCTGGACATCGATTTGAAAACAGAATCACCAAATGTTTTCCGACACTCGCGTGCGCTTCATGATAAGTTTTGACAGTTGCCAAAATGTATGCAAATAGTTTCCAATTCATGCCAGGGACCAAAACAAACCGACGAAAATCCTTTAATTGTAGCCTATGTAAATTCACAGTTCACCGATGGCTTAAAGCCACTGAACCTGCATTACCACGAGTTGTAGGCAGGGATGTAAATTAGATAGGTTAGAAGTGCCTACATATATTAATATAAAAATGTCCTACGTTTTATAACTTAGGAACGTAATAATAATAAAGATAGTTTTAAAGTACACCTAAAAGTTAATTTCATTCTTAACTTAAAAATATTTTAGTTGTGTTAAAGTACACCTAATAGTTAATTTCATTCTTAACTTACAAATATTTTAGTCTAAGCCTAAACTTTACCTTTATAATAAACCTAGTACCTTTATCATCACTGGTTGTAACCAATGCAGCATAGCGAATAAAGTCCAGCTCAATTCCTTAATTTTAAATGAGTTTTGGAGTTAATTAAGTTAGATGAATGATGAGAATAGTGATATGAACCTAGTTGAGAAGCAGTGAAGACTTCAACTTCACCAATAATAAATGAATTTGAAATGCCTGGGGGAATAATTTATCATAATTGTCCGTGTATGACTGGTCCTGTTGTTCCGTGTGGTTTAATTCATCTACTTACACATCGTGAGCAGTGCAAATTCACTCCACCTTTACGTGGCATAATCGAACGTTGCCCTGGCGCCAAACAGGGAAATATAACTGAAATGTGCGATAAATAAATATAAATTGGTAACGGAAGAATGGCGGCGTCTCATTGCGTTTTCAATTAATTAGTAAATGTAATGCAAACGGCGATCCGGGGCCGCAGGCATATCCTCGTGCCCATTGTTGCCCCAAAGGGATTCTTTAAATGGCTCCCTTAACACTTAATTTTTATAAATATTTATGTGCATACAATTTAATTTATTTGTAAATAATAATTTTTTGCATCGGCATTTCCTTTGCAATTACAAAATGCAACTTTATATTGCTTATTGCCGCTGTTCGCTGCATTGCAATGCATTGTTGACACATAAATTGAAATGCTGCGTGTCTCGCAGCGCAGAAGGATACACACACCGCACGCACACATTAATTAATGCAGATAAATCATAGCGTACTTTGAAGCGTTTTCCGCTTGTTACCTATGCAATTTTTGTTTTAATTTCACATTATTATCCCGGTTTCATTGCGGCATACATACTCGTACATATATCGCCATGGCAATCCCATTGATTCGTGCATTTTTCAATTGCAAATCCATTAATGCGTTTTTCATTTTGTGAGCTGCAATTACGCCGCATTTGTATAATTTTAAGAGCTCGTTTGCATTTTAACACAATTAGCCCAGGCGGGATCACTTAATTTGCCATTAATAATCGCCCATCCTCCCCATCCTCGTTGCAGGTGCCATGTTGAGCTCAGGTGAGCCGGCTGCCCCACACCTGGACTTTCTGCTGCGTCACAGCGTCAAGATGCTGAACATCTACTTCCACCTGGTCACCAATCAGCGTCCGCCCTCCGGCTCCCATCCCGGCAGCTCCAAGCCGCCCAAGAGCGAGCTCTTCGCCCGCGAACTGCCAGCGGCACCCCTTTCGGCTCTGGGTTACTTTGCCGGCGATTACGTTTACATGAAACTTTACAACATTTTAAGAGGTGCTAATGACAGCTACAAGGTAAGTCAAGCCACGGACTCGCAGATTCGGAGCGAGCAACCGCCATTAAGTCGCTGGTGGCGCCGAAATGGCAAAAGTTGCGCGGCACGTGCACTGAGATTTCCCCAGCATTCAACATTCGGCATTCGGCATCCAGATGGAGTTGCAGGCTCCTCCGTGAGATGCACGTACAGCGCAATGCGCCGTTTTATATGCAACACTTTCTACCGCTGCCGCAATGAGTTGTAAAAATTCAACCCGCGACGAAATGCAACCAACGTAGCATCCTCACTTGACTTTTGCCACTCGCAGCTCAAACAGAAAACTTCCCCGCGCTGAGTAACTTAATGTGCGGGTTGCATTAGGATGCTACTCCTCTTCCTCCTTGTCACTAAGCAACTCTTCTACTATTCTCTCCCCAGATAACCATAAATCACGAGGCCGGCAGCTTATTAATTTGTCTCCTGAAAACTTGCCTCAACGCATTGAGCCTCTGCCTGGAGGCTATGGCGAGTGCCTCGCCCCCGGAGCTCAAATTAATCGAAGAAATTCTCCACTATTTGACCAAGATCATAAATTATGCGCCCGCCGAGTGCGTTGCATGTCTGCGGCAACTGTTGAAATATTTATTCGCCCAAAATTATGCCAGCCAAGTGCGACTGCAGCCAACGGTCGGTGGCCACCACGCCGCCTTCATACGCCCCTACTTTGTGGCCAAGGGCAGGGGTCATGGCGCCGACTCCATGTGGCTGCCAACAATAAATTCAAAGCCAGTGGAGGGACCAGCGGGGGCAGGGGCAGTAGCAGGAGCAGGAGCAGGTCCAATTGATACTGGCCCACTCCAGCCACTGGGCAAGCTCTTTGTGCAGGGCCTGCAGCCGTCCACTCCGCCGGCGGGTGACTGCGCCCGGCTTATAAAGCTATTCGAGCCGCTGGTCATATACTGTCTGACGGTGAGTACACTCCAAGAAACTAACTTCTTGTTCAGAAACCAAAGCTGAAAAATATCAAGAGTCTAATAAATATTAAGAACAAAATACAGAGTTCAACCTGCCCACAAAAGAACACACAAATGGTTAACAAATGCCTACTTAAACCTATTGCTAAGCTAAGTAAAACCAAGAAACATAAATTAAACACTTCAATTTTCGATAAGCGCTTCTCTCCTGTTTAAAATCATAACTAAATTATAACTTATATAAAAATTTATCAACCTTCAATACATTTATTTATTATTATTCGCATTGTTTCGAGTGTAACAACAAAACGGTGGCCAGCGAATGCTAATTAATTTTAGTTGTAGCCAATTTGTTTGATTAAAAATGCACAGACACGAATACCAACCATCCTCGGGAGCAGTCCTTAATCTATTACGTGTGTGTGTGGGTGGGTTCAGAGTGCAACCATTGATCTTTTATTAATGGCAAAAATTTGCCGACTGCTAGTTTTCCTGCATGTTACATATTACCCATCTCCTCTTTTCCTTGTTTTTAGCTCTTCATGAAATCCAATGCGCTGATTCAGGCGCCCATACTGCGACTTCTCTCCCAACTGCTGGACCTGAATGTTACCTACAGCATACTGGACTCCAAGAATGTAATATTCGAGCAAATATTAAGCAACATGGATCTGATCGAAAGTGGCATAGATAGGTGAGTATTTTTATATAAATAAATCTAGCAGTAAAGTATTGGTGGTGGCCTATAAACACCTTGATACTGTGAACTGTGTTACTCAGCTTTTTTATACTTTTTATAATTTTTTTATTTTCTTCTTTTAGAAACGCCTTTATTATCGTACCGCCAATGCTGAGATTCCTGGTCCAGTTGACGCACAAGAGCGACCGGCAACTGATCACGATACCCAAGATCATCAGCGTTACCAACAATCTGCTGGCCAATAGCTCGATTCGCGAGGTGGCCCTGCTGGCCCTCAAGACCCTCAGCTACGAGCTGTTCTTCATGCAGAGCCAGCTGGAGGAGGCGCTGGACACCGAGGGCCATAACTCAGGTCGGACGGCGTGCCAGAGTCCGTTGAGTGCGGCCCCCACGCCGGAAACCAGAGAGGCCTTGCTGGCGCAGCGACGCGAACTGGACACCCAACGGGAAGTGGTGCTGGGCATGCTGGAGAAGTTCATCGAGGCGCGGCCGAGTCAACAGGTCCTGGCCCTGCTGCTCCTCTTCGAGCGCAGTGTCCAGCAACTGGACCCGTCGCCGTGTCGCAGTGGCCAGGATGCGGACGCCGTGTACGAAGCGCTGTGTCGAGGTCTCTGTTCCCGCCAGTGGCGTCTCCACTCCGCCGGGGATCTGCGGCTACTGGAGAGTTGCTTCCGCAACAACGGCAACCATGTGTTGGCCGACAGCAAGGGATTCCTGCAGCTGCTGCAACTCTTCATCGAGCAGGTGAGTTAAATATGCAGTGGCCTAAAACCTGACAAGGCAAGGCACTCAGCCAATTCACAGCTGCCCGTCAGGACCTCAATTACGGCGCACATTAAGACTGCCTGCCGAAGCTGTCCGTCCTCGATTGAACTCATAAATATGCGAAATGCCTACTTAAATATACATGCCCACACACACTTCGAGGCGTCAAGCAATTTGTAATATTTATGAATGCAGACAGAAACTTAAAATCCAGCCCGACATGCAAATGAACACATAAAGTTGTCTATCAGCCGCCGGTTTGGCAAGCTGCCAATGCAAATGACATATGAATGTCCTGAGTAGGTGTCATCGGGCGTGCCTGGCTTCCACTTAATAATATAATTGAAGTGATGCCACAAATTACAACACTCTCAGTTTGGCAACGATGGCCGTGCGACTTAACTGGTACTTAGGGCCAACGCCTGAAATTGCATAAATTGAACTCGCTTCGATGGCAATAAACTGTCGTGCGGCAGCTGTTCGAGTCGAAAGATGACAAGCCATTGCTGCGATGGCTCATCAGTTTGCATTCACTTCTCTGGCTTCCATCAAATGGTCAATGCCCAACGAGTTTTGTGGAATGTTTCGATGTTATTCCCCGCAGCTAAGGCAGTTCAAAAGGTTATCCAAACACCTGTAGGCCCACACCTCGACCCTCGAAGCTCATCAACGATTTGTCATTGCCGTGGTGGTCCGCTTAACCCTTCGCATTTACATACACACGAATGCACTTAGTTGCAGTTACGGGGCAATTTTTTATTTCGCCCTGCTGTTGTTGCCTCTGCTGCCGTTGCTGTTGCTGTTGCCACTGCTGTTGCTGATCCATGTGGCGCTGTAGTTAATGTGGCACATGTCGTATACGTGACATTTTTAATACCTACGCTTCAACGCCGCACATTTTCAACTATTAATGCGCATTTAAGCTACACATGCATTAACTGTCGGGTCTGCCTGTGCAGCCCGTGCCTTTAGGGCCAGCCACGCCCTCCCTGCCGCCCACTCCGCCCCCACATAGACCAGTCAACCGTTATGCTACAGTTAAAACCAACTTAATTACACAGTCTCACTAGCGCAGCTGGGCGTGTGTTGGCTCTCCGGGATCTCGGGGTTTTCGGGGTACTCGGGGTTCTCGGGGTTCTCGGGGTTCTCGTGGCTGCATGCGAGTCGAGTACTTGTCGTAGGCAGTCAATGGCAGGTGAAGACTCAACTCGCCTCCGTGCATCCACCTGTCTAACGCCCTTGGCCGCTGGTCACACAACTCCCCACCCCAACTTCGCCCCAATCGCTCCTATTAATGGCGACCTGGCACTTTACTGCCGCCGGCAATTCAACTTCATTTAACTTGTAAGTTATGCGCTTAGCTCGACAACTTTAACTAATTATCGTTTATTTAATTTGGACATATAAAAAAGATGAGATGGTTAGAGAAATTAACAGGGTTTAATGCATTCTTTGCCGCTCTAGTGGCATGAGTAATTAAGTTGGGCCCTCCTCCCATTTGGAGGGGTGTTTATGTGGGGTTGCAAGCAGGTGACTAGTTTATGGCAGCAGCATTTTAATTGAAATTGAAATTGCGCCGCAACTTAAATAACATTCTGCGTGTAAACATTGACTCGAGGATGCACGAAGCGTTCGGAAAAAAAGCTTATTTAAAATGTGCACCACAGGCAGCGGTCCAAGGCAAAATGGAATTGCATTCGCCACATGTGCAGGATGGGGCTCCTTTCTAATTACTGCCGGAAAATATGTTGATGTTGGCACTGGCAACTTTGTCACACAAATTTATGCAAAGTTTCTCACTTTACTGCACTGGCGGTCAACAACGAAAGGAGTCATCAGCCGGCGAACTTACATCTGATTCCTCTTACTATTTCCCCTTTCCATTCTCGTTGCAGGGCGTCGGCAACTTTGGTGATTTAGCTCTGGCCATGGTTATGCTGGAGAACGTAATCCTGAAGACCGAGGAAATTTATCTAGTGAATCACATAAAACTTTATTTGAAAAATAATCCAACAGCCGAGCGGCGTCTGCAGGCCCTACTGCCCGCCGCATCTTCAGCTCCTGTCTGGCAGGACGAGGCGCCATCGACGTCTTCGGCGGCGGCAGCTGCCAGAGCGGCCGCTTCCGCTTCCGCCTCCTCCTCCGTCCGCTCGGTCATCAGCGAAATTAACTATTTCGCCAAAGTTCTCAGCGAGAAGCTGCTGGCCTGTCTGGATGCCCTGCTGGGCCTGGATTCCGGCTCATCCTCCCCTCCTGCAGTGGGCCACGCCTACTGCCAGCTGGCCGGGCGTTTTGTGGATGCCATGCACAACGTCTGCTGCCGCTCGCGGCACAAGGATGCACTTCAATCAGTTTTCCGCTTGGTTTTGGCCGAGTCTGAATTTCTCTGCAAATACTATAGCCTGCTGCTGATGAGTGCCGCAGGCCAGGGAGGCTCCGGCTCACTGGATGCAGTGCTACTAGCCTGCCTGAGGCTGGTGCTGGCCATGCGGCTGGAGGAGCCGGTGGCCCTCATGGAGCACGCCGCTCAACTGCCGCTGAAACGGAACCTGCAGCGGGCGGTGCTCCGCGAAGTTTGTCGTGCAAATGTGGTAAGTAAACTGACAGAAAAATGGCTATATAAATGGAAATTACTAATTAGTTAATTATTATCTTTGAAAGAAATTTAATAATGGCTTATATCTAAATTTATCTGCAAACCCCAAAATTAAGTACAGATAAATTTACTTGTTTAAAAAAAGATTATTAATATTTTTTTAAATGTCCCCAAATACTCATTTCTATTTAACTCAATTTTGATATTAATTTTAATTTGTTTTGCCATCTAAGGTGGGTATAAAGAGCACCTAATTTAATTTAATTTTAACAAATATAAGTTTGAAAGAAATTTTAGAATTATTACCCAAAAAGAAAAAACATTTTATTTCCAATTAAATTTGCCCAAACTCAAATAAAATAGTTACCACCCCACCCTCCAAATCACTTTGGAAATTGTCCGATCTTTAATGTTCATTTAACAAAAGCCTAACTTGAAACTTGACTTTATTTAAGCTGTAGATTTTCCCCCAGTGTAGCTGAGTAAAGAGAGGGCCGCGGAGTAATGGCGAATCAGACACATTAGTTTAATTTGAATTTGGCAGACGACAGTGCTGCTGGGCCGCCAGTTTCCCAGTCCTCCGGATGCCCAGCCCATATACGACAATGCGAATTTTTCCAGCTGACAGTTGTCGCACTCGCAATTTTGCGGTTCACCGCATCGGGTTTTTGGTTTCGGCTTTCGGTTCACTGTCCCGCCGGCGACAGTGAGCCTTTAAACGGTTGGCTTACTTTAAGCACTGTTCATTGGCGGGCATAATTTTAAATGATTGCCACTCGAACATGCGCCACTTGTTGGCTAATGGGCCACGCCCACACCCACCAATCCAATAATTCACCGTGAATCCGAACAAATCACAATTGTCCACTAATTGCAGGGCTGCGATTGGAGTGCGCAACAAGTGCGCCGCTTGTTCGACGGCAGGTATCTGAATTTCCTAATTGCTGACCACTTGGAATTCCTCTGCGAGCTATGCCAAGAACGTCCCGAGTGCGGCTCATTACTGCAGGTGGCCCTGCTCCGGAACGCGGACCAATTGAGCAGGGTAAGTTGCGAAAGACTTTTGCATAACAAAGCCCCAGCTGCCGGCTTTTGTGTGCCTCCTTTCATCCGCCGCATGGTCCCCTCTTCGCCCCGCAGCAATCCATTCGCATCGTCCTTCGGCTATTGGGACGTCTTTGTGAGTCCGCCGAACAGGACGCCTCTGGAGACGCCGGCAGCGATGCGGATCCCACACTGCAGGCCCTCCAACTCCTGAGTCGCCTGCACCAGCTGCACGAAGGACAGCGCTCGCTGCAGCTGCCCATGGAGCGGTTGGCCCGGCGACTGAGCGCCCAGAGCGGCCCGTCCGCCAGGAACCTCATCTACGACAGGCTGGTGGAGGGGGAGCTGGCCGGAGGAGAGGACCAGGACGCGCTGCGAACCCTGCTGTAAGTAATACCCCTGCAATTATTTATTCGGAGCAATGGCAATTTGTATTCAGTTGATTACGTTGTTCGATGCAAGGGTGGGTCGGTTTTTAACAGAAAATTGTAGGTTTTATGTTGTAAATATACAACTCATTTTAATAAGTAGTGTAAATCCCTTGTATCCCTTGTAAAAATAATAATATCATCACTTATATTTGGTTTTGCATTATTATATATTTAAATTGAACTAAATCTTTCCAATTCTCTAAGTAATACTTGTTCATTGATTCTTAAATAGAAAGGTAGTTGCAAACGTTTGTCTTTCGGATAGAATTTAAACTTTTAAGGGGTGATATAAACCAAGAGTTCCCAAAGAAAACTATCAGCCCTGTGAATAATTTATAAAATACAAATCGACCCACCCTTCTGAAAGTGGTTTCCGTTGCTTGACAAGCGAGTACCCACTAAAAGAAAACCGAAGAGTACTCCAGGTTCGGATCAGCAGACTCTCATTATCCTTGATGCTTTTATTTATGTTTCATTGCTCCGCATCGCAGACTGAAGGACTTGGAGTGCCGCCAGGACAATGAGACTGCAACGCCGTCGCGCATAATTGATGAGAGCTGGCTCTTTGCGCAGGTAAATGGGACAAGCACTCGACCATTATGGCACTGCCACAGCTAATTTGTTGTTCTTTTCCTCCCCATCGCCCCTCGCCCCCTTTCCTTTGACAACATTTTTCCACCGCCACCATAGCTAATCAAATTCGCCACCCAGCATGCGGATGCTCCGCAACAGCAGAAGCAACTAATGCTGCTGCTCTTGGAGATCCAGTCGGAGCCCAAGCTGCACCGCCTGCTCCGAAGTCTGGGCGCCGAGCAGGAGGCGAGACTACTGCGCCACGCCATTGCCGGTTCACTGGTTGCCATGCTGTCCGCCTTTCGCCAGAAGTGCATCCAGCATGCGCCGCACATTAACTACATGCAACCGCCGCCGCTGGCGCGTGTGTCCTGCTCGTTGCTCCTGGCAAAGGTGGCTGCCACAGAGGCCGCACAACAGACGCCACCCAACGGGGAGCAACTGGATGTGGCCCGGGCGGTGGCCACGCTGATGGCCTGCATTCGGAATGTGGAGCAAACAGCACTCGTCTACATCGATGCCCGGCTGATGGAGAAGTTCGTGGTCGAGCACTTGCTGCGCCCCGAGCATCTGGCACAGTTGCTGGGCTACCTCGGCTGGCTTGCCGGGGCGGCCAAACAGATTTTGGCCAAGCCAACACGACAGGAGTCGGAACAAGGCGCCCTGGGCGTGCTGCTGGCCACCGTGGATGCACTCCTGCAGCAGCCACGCGTCTGGCGGGAGCTTAATGCCAGTGCGGATGGCGCTCTGCGCTGCGAACTGCTCGAACTGCTGGACTTGGTGGCCCGACGGACCCTACAGGACACCATTTTCTATCGCCGGCACCGGCTGGACAGAAGCAAGGCGAAGGGAGCGGCACCGCAGGCGATTTTCCTGGCCAAATTGATTGAAACTCAAATTGAAATCGAGTCCCTGGACAGCGGCAGGGTCTTGGCAGGCGCCGAGGATGCTCGACTGCAGTTCGCAGGCCAGGAACTGGCGCAGCTCCAAGTGCCATTGGTAAGTGACATCCGGCTGGTCATTTGTCAGTCCGAGCCAGCAGCACTTTCCATTTTCCTTTCCCTGTTTTCCTTCCCTCCAGTCGCTGGTGGCCTCCATCGGCATATCGCTGCTACGAACGCACCAGTTTTATGCCTACGCGGTGACTCCGCACGAACTCATCCAGCGGCCAGAGGAGCAGCAGAAGCAACAGGCCGATGGCAAGTTGCCCTCCATTCCAGTGGACAGTCTGAGCGATGTGGATATCCTGCGCCAATTTGTCAAGAGGTGAGTGCGGAGTTTGGGTGAGGGATGGGTCAATGGTTAAATTTAAGGTTACTCGCTTTTAAGAAATTCAAATTACAGGCAAAAGCAATTAATGCGGGTGGAAGTAAAGATATGAACTTCAAAATCTTTGACTTTGGTGCTATTAATACAGCTCTGTGATATTACATACATATTTTAAAAATATTTTGTATGTAATATAATATATTTTTAATTTAGTGAAAATTATTACTTTCCATCGTAAAGTCTCATTGTTCTTAAACTCCTCCTTATTGTTATAAACTCCAATTAATATTTTGGTTTATTACCGCACTACTTTAATCGTTGGTGACCCAAATATTCGCATCCTGTTAATCAAATGAGTTTATCTTTCGGTTCCCACCTTAAACCAGTGAAGGAGCTTAGCATCCTGCTAATTAAATGCGTTTATCTTTCGGGTCTCACCTTAAACCAGTCAAGTTGGAAGTCCGTCACCTTGCCCATGGACGCCATTGTCCGAATGGTCAACTGCCGCTTCCCTTATCAACGGGTCAGGCTCTGTTGCATTGTCCTTGCTGTTGGTGTCGCTCCTGTCGTTGTCATTGTGTCCGACAACAACAACCAGAGCGGCAGCATCAACATAGTTGCTGACAATGCTCTGACAGCGTTGACGAGCGCATGGCAGCTACATGGAGCGATGATGAGGACGGCAACGACGACGGCTAAACCGCAACTGGAAACATCAACATCCTGTTGTTCTATTACAAACACAAGCACAAATCCAAACATCCAAACATCCACACATATGTACGAGTGCGGGCCGTAAGACTTCATTGTCATCGTCATTGTCCTTGGGTTGTTTGCCTCGTCCTTGTCACTTGACAGGCTCCCCAAGCCGCTATTGCTATTGCTGCTCTATTGTTTCGATGGCAGTCGTCATCATTACGCCGTCAGCCGAATGCGGAAAGCTGAATCGTCATCAGCCAGGAATTGGGCGGAATAATTGTACACGGCTAGATGTCTGTGGCACTGGTTGGTTGTCCGGACTGCGGAGCCTAAAACTTGACTTCCCCCGTCCCCAAAAGGCATGCATACTTGCACTCGCACTTTGTCGCCCCAGCCACTTCTGGTTGTTGGCCGCACAAACATCAAAACCACATCAGCATCAGCAGGGATGCAGAGGAGCAGGACCAGGAGCAGCTCAGCGAGGCAGCGCGGAAAGCTGCGAGGATGATAACGACAAAATCCCCCAAAGGGCTGACGGAGCGGAACATCAACAACTCTATTAGACGAAACTCTGCGCAGGATCAGCATCAGCATCACCAGCAGCATCAGCATCAGAATAGACATGCATTTCGGGGGATGCAGGGAATAGAGAGTGGAGATTGGGGCATGTGGCATGGGGAATGGGCTAAAAGCTGGCTAAAAGACAGTGCAGCACACAGCACAGCACGGCAGGAAGAGCCGCCGACGAGGCAGCGAGCGATATAAACAAATTATGAGCAGCAAAGTGAGATAAATGCATGTGTGCGTGTTGCAGATGGCTGACAACAAAAGGCACGTCATGCCAGGATGCGGATGCGGATGCGGACGGCTGCTTTTGCTCCAGAAACATTGTTGCTAATTGCACAGAAACCACCACGATGTACAGCAGCAGCAGCAGCACCTCGGGCTCCCTTCGATGGATGGCATGGTGGCCATGGATGGAACTGCTGCTCCTGCTTCACCGGCTGCCTAAAGTAATCGAAGACTAATTGACATTTTAGGCTACATACTACATATATGCGTGCATGTATATTGCATATTTTAAATATTTGAAGAGGCCGGGACTAATTGAATTAAAATTTCAAGCATTGGCTGAAAACATTTTATGCAGAAATTTCAATTTTCAATTAATTACTTACACATACCTATAAGCACAGCAGCCGACTGCCGATTGCCGTATGTCGGATGTCGGCTATCGACTGTCGACTGTCGGCTGTCGGCCGTCGACTGTCGGTAATTAAATTGACACTCATAGCCACTCTGGATTCCAGGCTCTCCATCTTCGGCTTCACCACCCGGCAGCAGTTCGAGGAGTACTTCATGACCTGCCTGCTGCTGATCAATAAGCTGTACGACGAGCACATGGTCGATCAGCAGGAGCAGTTCCAGATCAAGCAGGTCTGCCTGCAGGCCATCCTCGAACTTTTAATGACGTACAAAACTTTTCCCATTGTGGGCCAGGCCAACGGACAGTTCCATCACACGACTCGCTGGCAGCGCATCACTTGTGACAGCATTAGGTGAGTTCCAGTTGTTTCGCTTTGGTCGGTACTCGGTGTTTGGTGCTGGAGTATGGGTAGAAATTTATGAAAATTAAAATTCAGAGAGCAGTGGGAAAAGTTTTTAATGTGTAAATGGCAAAAAGTACAAATTAAATGCGAACGGCAAAAGTTGAGTCTGTGAATGAGCGTGTATATCCTGATTCTGCTGTGCCACATTTTATATCGTCCCCATTACGAAAAAATCCTTCAACTTTAAATGCGCAACTAATTTGTTAACATGGGAGCGGGCAAAAACAATTTGGTAAACAAGTTTTCGGATGCTTTTACAATGTCTGCGTTTTTAATTAAAAGCGACAAAAAGTCTTTGTCGGTGGGACCACGGATATTGCATATATGGTGTGGCGTGACGTGAGTTGAGCACATGAATTATGAAAATAATTTTAAAAGTTAACGAGTGCCAAACTCTTTTTCATGTCTCTGGTCGACGGTATTCAATTGCCTGGAACGGCAAACCCATGAAAAAAGCGGGCGAGCGTCAAGCCAAAGCTGAAATATCACAAAACTCTGTGGGCAAACCCCTAGGAAATTTGCGAAAACACATATTTTCCGTATTGGTCGACCAGCAGCAATGGCTTCTGGGTAACTCGAAACTGGACGAATCCTTGTCGCCTTGTTGTTGACTTTATAAATTAGTTTTTAATTACAAGCAAATAGTTTTTACAAGCAAATAGTTTTTACTTGCTATTTCTGCTGCTCTGTCAACAGTGCGTATGCGCCATTTAATCGATAGAAGTGGCCAGCAATCAAGTAAGGCTCCCTCTCCCTTTATCGCCACCGACAAACCGACTTTTTCCCACACATCCATCAGCTTTGAATGTATATTTTTAAATGCCATTGTAGCCTGAAGAAACTGCACAAGGTGCAGCTGCTGGTGGACGCGTGCAATGTCTTCTATCACCCCAATCTGGAGCGGCAGCTGGCCCACGACAATGTGATTGGCACACGCACCTTTGCGGCCAATCAATACGATCTCAATTTCAGCTGGGCCCAAATGGAGGGCGTGGGCTTATCCGGCGGGGAGCAGGCCACCATGACGAACATTAAGCAGTCCTGCGATGCGGATGTGCCCGACATGGCAATGCGCAACTATCGCCATTTTACGCAGCTGTCGGGAATTGACTTTCGCAGCAGCACGCAGCTGGTCTTTGACGTACTGCAGCAGATGATCGAGGTGGGTCCTGTCAAACTTTTGTGGGAGTCACGTCCTGTGCATTCGTTCAGCCCTCGCACATCGCATGCCCCATGCCGCACATTCGATGGGTTTTAATTTGATTATGCAAGCAGCTCGGCGGACATTACAGTGCAGCTGGCTTGGATTGGGTTTGAGCGATCCTTGGGGGTACGCGGTGACTCGTGATTTGGCAGTGATTTAATTAGCCCCTGCAACTTGCTTTAACTCTTTTGAAATTTCACTCTATCGCCTGACAGCTGAATCACATCCTGGTGCTGCCCAATTTGGTAAAGTTTTGCGAAATCTGCGAGAGTCGCGACCACATCAAATGGATTAAGGAGCGCTGCCTCAAACTGCAGGAGCAGGTGGCCATGGACGATACTATTTCGCATCAGGTAAGTTGAATACCAGGAATAGTAACCAACAAGATGAGCCTTGACCAGAAAACATGGGTCATGTTTCGATTATTCATAAGTTGTAGGTCCTTTTGCCAATCTTTGTGAATTGTGTGTACAAAAACTGAGAAATTTTATTTATTTACCTTGTTATTTAACATGTTTTCTTACTTTTATACTGTATAGATATTTATAAGTGAGATATATAAAAAAGATTCAATAGTTTTAGCATTTCCAGTGAGAATCAAAATTGTTCAATTCTTCTTTTATAAGCCTATTATTTTGATTTATTTTTGAGATCAGTATATATTTTTTCTTGGCCATTATTTTAAATATATTTTTTAAATTTAATTCATATTGTTATATGTAGGTACACCATTTTCAAATTTTGTTATCCTTTCTGTGCACCATTGTGCAATTTCATTGTTTTCGATGCTAATGCTCTCCGCTCTCTGCAGCATATAATCTACTTACTGTGCCGCAGCCAGGCCCTCCTCATCCCCAGCCTGGGCGAGCTGCAGGTCCTGTGCTCCTTGATTGGCAACATCTACTTGAAGAGCACGCACAGCTTCATACGCATCGCCACGCTGCAGGGGCTGCTCTGTCTGCTGGAGTGCTGCAGCAAGACCAACACGACAATGGGGCGGCTCAGCGAGGAGCTGGCATTGTTGCGAGCCCTAATTGTGGGCTACATCAATCGTCATGGCATCATTGATGAGAGGTGAGTCCGGGGCCTGGAAGGAGGAAGTGGATGTGGAAAGTGGAAAGTAGGAAGCCGGAATCTGCCGTCCATAATTTGGCTCTCTGCGCAATTAACAACCCCTCATCCAGCTGGTCGGTCGGTATTATCAGCCTGTTTGCAGTGCCCTCGGATTGAATTGAAAATGGAACTTGCTGGAAAGCTGAAAGCCATACCTGCTACCATCTTCAATTGAAACTCATCAACTCGGCTTGGCCGGAGTTCCAGACCTCAGACTCCTGCGGCTCCCCTGGCATGTCTATATCTGTTCCACAGATCCACTCACTAATGGCAAAAGTTCTCATTTCGCATTAGTTACCTCGGCTCATCGGCATCTGGGCTCTGTGGTCTGATGTTCTGCCGATGCCGATGCCGCTTCCACCTGGCCACCGCCACCCCTTTGCTGTTTAGGGTGTTATCAAAAAGTTTTCAAGGACTGCGCCGGAAGCAGCCAAGCCCAACTCTCGGCAAAGGATATGTCGGCAGCGGAAGTTGCCATAACTCGACAACGTGCAGAACATCGATGAACCATGGCCATTGAAACTTTGCTCCTGCTTTCGATAGATTTTCCAAAGTCAAGCGCAGCCTCTGATCAATGGAGCCATGGTGTTGTTCGTGTTTGTGTTTGTGTTGCATTTGCTTGTTTATGCTCGCCAGTAAATTCTAATTATTGGCTGAGCAGCTGCCTCCTCGTTCGCGGCTTTTGATGGAATTTCATGTACTGCACCTCGACCGCGCTCAAGTTTCTCTGTTCTCTGTTCCTTGACAAGTCTGGGAAATGCGCCAAAACTTTTGCTTTAACTTGCAACCTTGAAAGAAATAACTTGAATTCCTCGCTTGGCTTTGAAGAGCAAACAACTTTTATTGCGCATACGCAGCGTATGCGAAACCAATAAGCCAAAACCTCAGCGAAAATTGCCGCTCCTGCAGCAGCACTGGTCAAAAATCAATGGATGGCCCTGCATTTGGGAACTAATCAGCGAACAGGCAGAGCTCCCACCATCGCCTCGCCCGAACTAATTATTTTGTAATTTTACGCGCAAAAAGCAATAAGAGGGAGTGTTTGCCTGTTTTGGCCATCGGCCATGGCGGATGCAATTCTGTGGTCGTCAGACTTCTAATTAATTTAGATGGAAACATGCCGAGAGCAGCAGTAGCTTTTCGATATCGTTTTATAATCAGCCCGTTGGACTAAGCATTTCTGGTCTATCTTTACAGCCCGCTGCCGTTCAGCGTGGAGCACACGAAGCTGGTGTGGACGCTCAATTACAGCCTGATCGAGTGGACATCGAAATTCGTGCCGCAATGTCATCTGTTGTCGAATACAATCATTGTGGCCAACAACTTCCTAAAGAAGACCGTCGACGAGGAGCTGTATCTGTGCGTTCTGCATGTGAGTACGAAGGCGGAGGACTTAGCATGCCACTTAAATGGTTGTCAGGCTTGTCTAGCCGCCATCGGGCCACTTACTAACTGTCAGCCGACTAGCGGGCCAACAAATCTGACTGCCATTGACCGGGGTAAACGTTCCCCAGCCGGCTGCCTCGATCCCTTGACTGGTGTGGCTTAGCCGGGTTGGCCCACGTTGCGCTTAATTGGTTTTTTGATTGACAATTTTCAAACGGCACTGGCAATGGCACTGGCAAGCGGACCGAGCTGTCAGACGGGCGGCGAATACCAAACCCCGAAGTCCCGCGGACGAACCGCAACGGGTGCTGTCATAACTGACGGAGGAACAGCCAACAGGGCGAATGGCAGGGGCAACAGCCAAATGTTTATTGGTCTGGTCGGGGAGTTGTGCTGGTCAATTGGCGTCCGTTTCCGAATTGAGCTTAATGAAAAAGAGTACAGCATTTTGTTTTAAGCGCTGCCCGTCTGTCCGCCACAATCATATAAAGGAATTCCTCAGTTGGCGAACGTAATTTGCCACCATTTAATATAGAGTTGAGATTTTAATTGCAGTTTACGACGAGAATGGCGAGCGTCAAGTAATTAAAAACTGTTTTTGCCCTGCATACTTCCGCACTACGCTTCGTCCGGACGAAAATTAAATTCGACTTTTTAAGCAATTTATGAAATTTGCACGCAATTCAATTGTCCCATTTTGTTGCTTTCGCTGTGGCTGTTTCTGTTGCGATGATGATGTCCTTGTTGTTGCCGCCGCCTCTGCCTTTTGCTTTGATGGTGGCACTCGGGATCCGAATCAGCATCATCATCATCATTGGCAGCAGTAGCAGTAGTGGAGAAAGCGGAGAAAGCGCAATGGCGCGCAGCGACAACAGCGGCCATAACAATAACAATTTGCCACTCAATTAGCGTGGCCATTACTGAAAAACCCACTTAAGTATGCAATGATAAAAATTCAAAAGCGAATCGAGAGCCGTCGCATTGCTATTTCTATGAGCTGTTGTCCCGCCCCCGTCCCCCTTCCCCATCCCCCATATATATTGCTTATTGTATTTATTTATCTCTTTGTCGTTGGCACAGGGCCTGGAGCGCATGGTGGTCAATAGCGGAGTGCCGTCTCCTGGTGGCCAGCCTATTGGAAAGGACCCAGCTGGAGCCGCCGGAGAGGCACAGTCGGCGGCGGGATCCGAGGCTGGTGGTGTCGGAGTCGTGGTCACACCGCAGATGCGACATAAAATTGAAAAACTTGCACTCGAATTGCTGAAAATGGAAAATGAGAAATTTTCGATTCCGGCATTGAAATTGCTTTTGTCCTGCATGTATGTGGGTGAGTATTCGGGGGCGAAACAAACGGCGTGCGCCGAAGAAAATAACAAAAATAATACCGAGATCAAATAGGGAAGCAAAAGGGGGAAATCGAGGGGGCAGGGGGAAAGGAGAAGGGGGTTCAGAAATATTTTGTAATTTCATTTAATGCCGCATGGGCCGCGAACGGGTTACTCTGTTGTTATAAGAAAATTTCACAAAAGGACTTTGGGGGGCAAAACAGAGACAATTGAGTGCGTTTGGGGGAGCCGAAATTCCCAATTTCAAATACGAGAGGAGCACACTACTTTAAAGGGACACGCCTGACAGAAGGGCGGCATTTGGCATTAGCAGGACACTCTGGCCAAGTGAACTTTATTCTCTTTACGCGCGCAATATCCTTTATTTGGCTGCTGCCATGTCCTTCGTACACTGTCCCATTTTAAATGCGCTCGCTAGCTGGCCATGGCGCACTTTGTGTGTTTGCGGGTCAACAGTTTGGCGCTGATCATTATGGCCATGAATGCATTGGGTGTGCGAGTGCGAGTGTGACTGCGAGTGTGTGCCCTTGCCAGCGAAAGGCTAATTGCTGTCGCCGGCCAACACACCACCGACTGTTGCTGCCGCGTATCTCTGCTGGCGCTGGCCAACAATTATCCCTGTTGCTGTTATTAGCGCAATTCCAGGACAATTATTATCGTTTCCACTGTCGCACACACACACACACGCTTCTGTCATCCGCTCGTTTCTCTTCTGCTAAAATGTTAGTTCACTGGTTTTCGGGGCAAAAGTTCAGTCCAGTGCGCTTAAACAGGATAATTTGCATAAGATATTCGTAAACTCAATGCTTATCAACAACTTAAATTCGTGGGCGACCTAAAACAACATTTATGGTGTTTAAAAGTGGGGAAAGTTGTTAAAGTTTGTAGTTCTTTAACAAGAAAAGCCAAGATTCCTAGAAAAAACACAGATTAGAATGCATCTTCATTAGAATGAGTCTTCATTCTGGTTTAGTTCATTAGGTGTTCCCCTTGTTTAAAGGTTCATACATGGGTGACTATGGAAATCGCCCTGATACGGGTCAATCGTAATCCGCTCAGCCTCGTTTCATTTAACATCCTAAGCCAATCGATTCTCCAATCGAACTCCACAGCGTCCTCTTCTCATTCTCTAACCAGAAAAAATAACAACCGTCAACCATTTTAAAGGCAAGCAAAAAAATAGAACATTTGCCTTTTGCTTTTCTCCTTTTTGCTCTGGATATGCTCCCAGCTGATTCAGCCCATTCAACCTGCTGTGCGTGGAAACTTAGCACAGCTTTCGACTGGGCCACTTCTGGCCAGAAATTATGCAAGTCGCTCCACAAATATGTCGAAGAATGCCCGCGGCTGGTTGCATGTGTAGGTGAAATTGGGAGTGGAGCGTTGCGTATTTGCCTTGCACTTTGTCAGTGCGCAGGATTGCCGACTGCTGAGTCCCTTTTGCCATGGCCACAGCACGCAAATCCTTTGAGAAACGTCAATGTTTGTGTAGCAGGCCATTCGCGATGCTTACTTCTGCCACTAAATGGCGGCGACTGCCTTGATTTTGGGCCCTGCCAACACACAAATCTCGAATATGGCAACCAGGCAGGATCCTGGCTTGGGACCCACCGAACCACCGAACGAACGAGTGAACGCATCCTAGCGGAAGTTGGCCATTTCTGGGCACGCTTTTTTGCTCTTTTTCCGCCTGCCCGCTTTTTTCAAAGCGTTGTGTGGACTCCCCGCGAAAATAAACAAAAGACCGCGTCGCCGAAGACAATACAGGTTGCGCTGCTAACAAAAAATGTGGAGAGCGAAAGCTTAAAAAAAAGGAGCTGAACAGCAAAACAGGGAAAGTCGCAAAAAGCGTATATATATTCGCCCCCAAAGTTGCAAAACGCAATAATAAATATTTGCGGCAATATTGGTCACCCAGTTGTTGGAAAATGCTCGCAAGGCAAAGGATGGCGAATCCTTTACAAGGACACCCTTTAATATGTGGGATTAGTAGTGGCTGGTTCTGTTATGTTTTGTTGCTTACAAAAAATATTTCAAATAGGAAAAGCAAACAAATAACAAGCAAGAAACTGAATAAACATCTGCAATTAAAACATATTCCAGACAATTGATAATGGTTTACAAAACATTCGACTGGGTATAAATTATTCGTATTATCGACCGTTTCTATTATGGGATGGCCTTTGTTTGCTACTGCTCTTACTGTTGTTTTTATAGTAAATACATATTTTTTTCGCCGCACGTTCTTGCCTAAACGAATTTTAGAGTTTGTTGGGTTTTTCGTATTTTTTTCCTGCATTGCCGACGGCTTTCGTGGCGCGCATAATTGTGGCCAGGCGTCAGGCCCTCCCCCACGGTCACTTGGCCATGCTTCATCCCCGTCCAAAGCCAGTAACAACAATGCCAAAATTGGCAACAGCCAGCCAAACAAGCTGCCCGCAGGCCAACAGCCACGACCAACAATGTTAAGCTGCAAAACAAAGGCCAAAGCCAAAGTTGGCGCGGCCAGAAGGCGGCCGAGTTGGGTTAAGGGGTGGCCAAGGTGGCCAGGTGGATTCAGATCCGGATCCGGATCCTCCCCCGCCCTCCCGCATTGTAAATAATTCGATGCCGCTAAACCACACTAAGCAGCACACACAGGCTGTGTGTGGCTTTCAGCGGTCTCTTGCCGCCATCATTTTTCACCTGGCTAAAGGAACGCACATTTATTTGGTGACCTTCCCCGGTTGCGGGCTTAATCGAACAACTTAATCTATGGCCGTGTGGCCAGCCTTTTGCTCAGCTTCTGGTCCTGGTTTTTTGTTTAGTTTTCAATTTGATGGTCATGGGAGAAAGTTTGCCAAAGAGCGTTTGGCTTCAAAAAATCCATAAAATTTAAATGCAAATTTATGTACGTGTGTGTGCCGGGGGAATCAACGGAAAGGGGAGCAACTAAAAGTGACAGCACTGGCGTGTGAAGGACCCCAAGTATGTGAATAATGGCCATCGGCATGTGCCTTGAAGGCTGCTTTGTTAATTAGAAAGTTTCACTTTCTGCCCTTCCGCAATTCGTTGTGGGTGACTTACACATTTCTCTGTTCTGTTCTGTTTTCTACTCCGGTTCAGGTTCTGCTGCCCAGTTGGAGAACACGGAGCTGTCGAACGGAATTGTTCAGGACGATCCGGAGATAATCGCCCAGCAAAACGATAAAGTCGATATACTTTTGCATTGTATTAAATCATCGAGTCGAGATGCCGCCTGGATTTATGGACAAGTGCTGTGCCAAATTATTCGTGATTTAGTGCCACCGAATGAAATATTGACGAAGGTCATAAAGGAGTTTCTGGCCATAAATCAACCGCACGGCGATGTTATTGCCATGATTGTGTATCAGGTGAGTGGTGGCCAAAGATCTAGCAAAGGTAAAGACGCTGGCCATTCGTGCGTGGCTGCTGCGAGCACACATACATGTGGGTTCATTTTACGAGTCCAGATCCGGGACCTCTTGTCCCCCCCTTTTCCCCATCCCCCCTGCCTGTGGCCTGGAGACCGGAACGGAATGGGGCCAATGCAGCGCTAATGTTCGCCTCTGCCACAAGTCGAAAGGGTAAAATACTCGCCGCCGGCTTACAGTTTCCAGCTGCCAACTACCCACTGCCCACTCTGCACCCATATGTGAGTGCGTGTGCGTCTGCGGAATTTTTGGCAGCTTGAAAATTAATGGAATTCATGGCTACAGCTTGGCCCCTGTCCAGCAGGTCCAGCTGGTCCCGCCGGCAGGTGCGACTACGAGTGCGAGTATGTGGGTCAATGCGAACAGGCTAGCACTGTGGTGCCATAAAATTTTTTCATTAGGTTCAAGGTTAGCCAGTGGGTGCGTGCATGGAAATTAATAAAGGGCAGGGATCCCAAGGATCTGGGGATCCCGGAGCGGCACAATTTGCACTGTCATTTGCAGGGCCGGATTCCCAGGCTGCGGAATTTCATTAGCCAACTTTCTGCCACAAAGTATGCTGTGCTGCAGACTTTTGTGGCCCCTCGAGAATGGCACCTTTTGAGCAGCACAATAAAATTAAATTTCCGTATTGTCGGCTTGGCTTTTATTTAAGCATTTCGTTGCCAGCTCTTAACCCGCTCTTCTCTTCTCGCAGGTCTTTCGCTCCGCCATCGACTCGTCCTACCTGCAGATGCTCCAGGACTGGCTGATCTGCACCCTGCCAACGTTCCTCGCCCAGCCGGAGCAGCAGGGTGTCTGGGGTCTCAGCGTCATCTTTTTATCCGCCTCCATAAATCTGCATTTGATTAAACTATTTCCGCTGGTGCTTGGCATCGGAGCAGCCAACTCTGGGATGGCGACGGCAGCGGCAACGGCAACGGCATCGGCAACAACTGAGGCAGCAGCTCCGGCGACGTCCCGAAAATTGGGTCAACACGAAATTGCATTGTTCGTGACAGCTGCACAAGATTTCCATGCGAAATTGAGTGGCGAGCAGCGGCAGCGTTTCCGCGAGGCCTTCAGCAGCTTCGAGCGGAGTCAGGTCTACGGCCGGATGCTGCAGCGCCTGTGATGCTCAGATGCTCAGTTGCTGGATGCTGATGCGAGTGGCGATAGCGTATAATCATGGGTGAGCTCCTCGGGTCCGACTATTTATCTTGCGTTTAATTCCAATCGCGGGAGCGGGCGTGGTCGCGGCTAAGCAAAATGCAATGGACTCCGATTTGGCAACAGCAACGGCAGCGGCTAAACTTGCTCCAAAGACAAGCGCAAGCGTGAATAACTAATTGCCCCGAGCTGCGGATAAAGTTTAAGCGGATGTCCCTTTTCTTGGCGCTCGCACTTCTCCTTCAACTTGGAGGCCCCTGCGCACGACAAAGTTTTTTAATAGTTGGCGAATACAAAATTAATTTATGCTTTACATTATGTGTAACTAATATTTAAATTATTGCAAACGAATGTTCGCCGATCCACCTCCGCGCCTCCCCGCACTTCTTAATCTGGTCGAAAGTTTAACGAGGCCACCAGCGAGCGACCCACAATTAATTCCTGCGGCTTTCGACAAGGACCCAGGACACGGAAATTATGTTCTTGTCAGTTTTGGGTAAAGTTTATCATTTATTTATTATGACGCTGCTTGCCGGGGCAAGAAACAACCTGGACAGAGGACGCTAGTGGGCATTAGTATGCGCCTTAACCAATTGCTGGCTAATTCCTAATCAAAATTACTTAAAAATTCCATTATGCAAACACCGCCCTCTCCCTTTGTGTACTCCAATTGTAATCAAAATAATAACCATGTTGTTTAATGAAATAAAATCACAAGCTAAAACGAGTTTGAAGGTGTGTCGCCGATTTGGGGGGATTGGAAATGGTATGGTTGATTTCAAAAATGCATAAAAGCTGAGCCAAGCACTTTGCCAACTAACCGAGAAATTCGTTTTTTGGATTACTGAACTATATGCAAATCGGTTCGAACTTTTGCGCTTTTACCTGCTGGCACATGTAACGTGGCTCCTGAACGTTTTCTTCGTTTTACCGTCTTAACAACAAAGCGCATTAAAGTTGACAAAATGTTTCTTCCCCAAACTATCGCCGAAGTGCTGGACTGAAAAAAAAAGTTTAACTAACCGGCTTTTACTTGAATAGCGGATGCCCTGGAAAGTAGGCAAGTAATGTTTGATTTTGGCAAACTTTACTTTTAACTATTCAGGCAAAAATACCTACCTTACATTACACAAGTTAAATTAGCCATATCTGCGATTACAGATTCTTATTTTTGCAACAGATTTTCCGTTTTATGTTGATTTATCTTATCTTATCGACTCATAAGACAAAATATATTTATTGTTCCAGGATCAAAGCAATCTCTTAGACATTATACCCTCTACAGGGTATTGAAATCCGCTCAGTGCGTTACCGTTAGCCGCCTGCGTGAGTTTGTGCACCGAAATTGACAGATAAACTTTTGTTTCGAGTGTGTGTGTGTGGGTGTGCGTGCGACAAGGACGGAAGATGGCTTTTGTGTGCATGGAAAGCTTGCCGGAAATTTGCCAGTTCAACGCGAAACGACAAAAAGCCGGTAAAAAAAGGGAAGTTGCAGCACACACCGAAATGAACTGCAAAGCTGTTCAAAGTTGTATTTCTGTTTTGGCGCGACCGCATTATGCAATCGAGGTGAGGTGGGTGTGTCGATTTCGTCCACTCTCCTTTTATATTTCCCCCCGCCTCCCCGCTCTGACTCAGTATCAAGACAATGCGCCCATTGTCGCCATTATGCCGCATGCCAAGAGGCAATTTGGCCAATGCCTGGGCCATAAACTGCAACATTTGGGCTATCAGCATTTGGTTACGCTTCATTTGGCCAGGAAACCCAACCCCCACTTATAGCCACCACCCCCTGAGATTAGCAGCGTGTGACTGACCGAAAAGCAGGTGAGCAGGTTGCGTATCCGACCCGTTGCCAGACGTGGTGCCATGACCTACGCTCCGGTGTCGAGTGACTCGAATGCCCAAGAGCAGACTGCGAGGGCGGTGTGCCAATTCGCTTCGTTTCCCATTTGCTCTCTCTCTGGCACTGTTAACTGGGAACTCACCACTATTCGGAGTCGCTCTCTTTGCCTGCGCTCTCTTAAATCCGTTGAGCCGCTCTCTCGTCCTCAGAGGACATTATCGAGACTAGGTCAGTAGTGTAACAGTCCCGATTCCATTACGTTTCACAGACGCCCACGTAACGATAAGTGTTTGGTATGCAGCCAACACGCCAGGATATGCCGCAATTTCTTAATACTCCGATGGCTTTAAGCGGGAAAGGACGAAGGACGCAGGAGAGGGGCGAGCGGCTGGCGGCGACAACTGTTACACTCACAGTTATGATTATTGTTATTATGATAATGTCAGCAGCATAAGCAGTCGTTGTTGTTGTTCTACTCGGCTTTGGCGTTATTGTTTGGCTATTTGCTCGGTGGAGAAATGGCTTATCCTTTAGGCGAGCGAGAAAGCCAGGGAAACACTGAAAACAAATTAACAAAAGGAGAAGCAATAAAAAAGCATAAGAAACCAATAAATATAATAACTCCCGAATAAAAAAATTGAACTTGACAAAGAGAAAATTAAAGGAAAAAATTCATGCAGTTATTCTTATTATTTTTTAGAAGTTTATAAGAAATTATTTTCATGGATTGGACATATTTTTAAATGAAAATATAAAGATTTTTCAAGTTAAGAACAATTAAAAAATATTTAAAGTTCTTTTCATACTTTCTGAAATATGTTATGACTTCAGATTAGTACTAGCTCTAATAGAAAAGTTTATTTTTTAAATACAAAACCATTTTTAAACATTATTTTCTGAGTGCAAGAACAGAAGGGGAAAGAAAAGTGTGGCCATCGAAGCGTGTGCGTTTATGGCGCCAATACATAGTTGCCCGGCTTTATTTCGCTGACTTCCAGGAGCCTGCTCCCGGGCCCGAATCGATCCATTGATTTTCCCGCCTCATTTGCAAAGCCACTTGGATGCCGGTCGCCATCTGGGCCCGCACTCCTTGTAGCTCATTTGAAATTTTGATTACATTGGCAACGCGCCGAAGAGGAACCTGTCAGCGACTGATACGCATTAATTACGTTACCTGGTGTAAAAAGCAACGCCTCAACGCTAGACGGGCCGCTTATTAAAATTGAATAAATTATGCAAAAGTGCCGGTGGCCTGGCAGCGCGGAAACCCGAGTCAATACTCGTACGCCCATACATATATACGCCCGGATCCGGAAGATGGACACCGCATAATTAATTCCGGTCAGTTGCCAGCGGAGAGCGAAATGCAATCAGCATCTTGAGCCTGCTGCCAAAGTCGGGAACTCGGTGACAGGACCACCAAGTGGAGTGGTACCCATGGACTTTTGTGTTGTCAGCAAGTGACGTACGCAGAAACCTTCATTTCTTAAAAATGTTTATAGCAAATCGAAATTTGTAAGCGCTTTTCCCGGCTTTACCTTTTTTTCCCTCCTTATTCATTATGATTCATGATTTGCTGCTGTTGTGGGCTTAGAATTGCAGGTTTTTGGACACTTATGTGAAAAGCCATTTTTCGAAAATTTGGAAATACCAAACATAGCTGAGAACACAGTTTTTTAGAGAATTAAACCACAATCATTTAGATGTATGCCATTTTGAAATCGGAAGTCTGTAAGAAAAGTTATGGGCTGAGAAGTGCAGGTTTTAGGTCATTTTTCTGCAAAGCCATTTTTCGCAAATTTGGAAAGGGGTAACACTGTCAAAATGACGAAAAATCGACCCCCAAATACAAACCAAACTGAGAACACAGTTTTTTAGAGGATTAAACCACAATCATTTCGAGATATGCCACTTTGAAATCGGATGTCTGTATGAAAAGTTATGGGCTGAGAAGTGCAGTTTTTAGGTCATTTTTCTGCAAAGCCATTTTTCGAAAATTTGGAAAGGGGTAACACTGTCAAAATGACGAAAAATCGACCCCAAAATACAAACCAAACTGAGAACACAGTTTTTTAGAGAATTAAACCACAATCATTTAGATGTATGCCATTTTGAAATCGGATGTCTGTAAGAAAAATTATGGGCTGAGAAGTGCAGGTTTTAGGTCATTTTTCTGCAAAGTCATTTTTCGAAATGACGAAAAATCGACCCCCAAATACAAACCAAACTGAGAACACAGTTTTTTAGAGGATTAAACCACAATCATTTCGAGATATGCCACTTTGAAATCGGATGTCTGTAAGAAAAGTTATGGGCTGAGAAGTGCAGGTTTTAGGTCATTTTTCTGCAAAGCCATTTTTCGAAAATTTGGAAAGGGGTAACACTGTCAAAATGACGAAAAATCGGCCCCAAAATACAAACATAGGTGAGAACACAGTTTTTTAGAGAATTAAACCACAATCATTTAGATGTATGCTATTTTGAAATCGGATGTCTGTAAGAAAAGTTATGGGCTTAGAAGTGCAGGTTTTAGGTCACCTTTTCGACACCACACCATTTTTCGAAGATTTATGGCGAAAAATCGACCAAAATGAAATTTTTAAGCTGTGAATGCTATCTATTAAATTTTTTTTTAACGAATTTAACGAGGTATGATTTTCCAACATCAGACGATTACTTCCCAGTGTTCTTATAAAAAAAAAGATTTATTTTTGCTATTTTTCCATGATTAGAAGTCAGTTTATTAAGTGGTTGACAGGAGAAACCCTTTTGTTTCTGGGTGTTTCGCTGAGACTAGTGCCTTAGAATAAATTAATGCCTGAGTGGTCAAATGAATGCGGTTCCGAGTGATTGCACAAATGCAACTGGCAAATAACGCCGATATAGATGGCAGCGCGGATATTCGACAAGTATTTCAATTTCATGTTTCACGCGCCACTAAATGCCAATTTAAGTGCCGGCAGCCGAATGCGAATTCGCATACATATATGCGTCTGGCAATTGTTCGGGCAATGCCCCATGAGCCGCAGGCTGACAACTGAATGTTTTGTTAACTCATTTCAGTACAAATCAAATACGCATAATGCCGTGTTTGTTAATTCTTTAATGGTTAACACAAATAACAAACTGCGGTAACATAGTCAACAATATGGCCCTCAGCGAGGGAGTTTGTAATACATTACATTGCGATAAGCATTATCTATATAACAATTATTATAATACCCTTTTACACTGCATTAACATTGAACAAATACGACATTCTTTCGAGGTCAGCGAATGTTTATTATAATACTCTCTAAGTGACATAGAAGCGTTTAATCCTAATATTATAAATAACTAATAGACAATCATTTAATGCTAGGTTATCAATTTTAAAAAATCCATTTTATTTACAAAATACTTATATTTAAAGCTAGACATTCGAAGAGCATCACTTAATTGTAGTGATCGTTTGCAGTCCTTTGGTCTATTGGTCCTCTGGTTCCCTGTTAAGGACATGTGCATCCACGACTGCCCTCGGAGATTCACTCGTAGTGTAGGCCTTCCTCAATTGCCTCTTATCCCGCTTTAGGGATAATTTCCTTAGAGTCCTGTGGTGGAGGTCCTGGCACAGGATGTCTTGCGCGGCGGCGGCAAATCAGATGTGTAGTTCTGATACCGAGACGAGCAGTTAATGGCCTGCAGGAACAGAAGAAGAGGGGTTGAGAAATCAGAGGAAGTGGTGGAAAATTGGAAGAATTTAACGCTAAAAATACATAAAGTGCTGATGGCCCAGTGAATTCACAGTTTGGCCACAATATTTGATTAATGATGTGCTTTGATGCAGAGTCACTTCTGCTGGGCGATGGGAAATGGGGCGAAAGCTATTCCCTTGTCAAGGCCTCTGGCTGCGATTGTTGCCGTCGCTTTGCATTTGAATGATTAGATTTGATTCAATATTCAATTATTAAAGTGGTTTGAGGTGTTGAAATGCCGGCAGACAAGCAGCGAATGGCCCAAACGCCTGCCAACTGACTGAGCTGGGAAATGGGAACTGGGAACTGGGAGCTGGGACCACTGGATCCTGGCCGATTGAGGAGTGGGAGTTTGCATATAAATGATTTATGAATTTGCGCTTTGATTGAACTGCCTGAAATTGTTGATTAGTGCCTCGTCACAGAGGCAACAACAACAGAGCAACTCCATCAGTAGCTCTGGGGAAATGAATTACGGCTTTTCAACCGCCGGCAGTTACGGTCTTTGGCTTCCTAGGTGCGCTGTGCACTCACATTGTCTGTGTTTCTGCTCATTATTCGATTATGGCGAATGGGGAAGCAATAGGGGAAGATTTTAACCACAGATTTCTGCTATATTTATTTAGAGTTTATGCTGCTATAATTTATTTAGTGTTACAAAAAAAGCTTTTTGTGATTTAAAAGGAAGTTTATGTGCTTCAAGAACTTGGAAAAAACATGCATTCATTCAATGGCTTTGTACAGCATTCCACATTTTTAAGGGCATTTTTATTGACTTAAAAAAAACAATATCTAGACTAAAAATTAAATAAGAAACTAAATAAACGACTGAAAATTAATTTAATTATATATACATTAATTAAACAAGAAAACAAACTTAACTGCCAAACTATTTAAAAGTAGAATCTAAATTGCTTTGATATTTTAAAAGCGTATACAAAATATTATTAATAAGAACTTTATTGGAAAAAATAAAACTCAAAATTTACTCCGCCTTACAATTTTGTTTAATAGGTAGTTTTCTCTGAACTCACATCCGGATGCGTCGTTGTCCACATATCAAGCCTCTTGGTTTGCAAACTCTTTAGGTATTTCATAGGATTAGGAAGTGAAAAGGGAAGATAGCAATGGAGAAATGGACACATTCGACAGTTGAATAAATGCTTGACTAATAGAAAGGCCAGTCACACGGCCAATTAATCAGATTGACATATTCCCGACCACGTGGAATCCGGAATATATAAACCAAAAGGCAAACACGTTCCAGCTGCCCAAGGAAATAATAGCAAAAAAAAACAATACAGGAAACGGCACGGCAATTTAATTAACGTAATTAATCTAATTTAATGACTTGACAAACACATCAATTAGCGAAAGACAAACCAAGACAGCAGCCGACCGACCAGGAACACAATTTATATGCAAAGTGCCAAAAGCTTTGCGCAAAACAGGAAGGACTCACGCACCGCAGCGGCAAAACAAATTAAAATATTAAAATTAAGCCACAAAATGATTGAAAGGAAATGTTGTACGGTAAGAGCAAAGCCCTCCGATCGATGAGTACAATGTCCCTGTCTTCGACTCCGGTTGCCCGCTGTTTCTTGAGCCGTTTGTGTCTGTTTGTCCCTAAAGTAATTAAAAGTAAGTAAAGCGAAATCACCCCCGCGGTGGGGGCGGCGAGCGGTGGGCGTGGCTGGCCAGTGATTTGCGTCCCGCAACGCTTTTTTCTGTTTATGCAAATGGCCGCTGACCAAAAGAATTAATGCGTCCCGAAAGTGAGTTGAATTGGAATGAGCCGGCCAGAGCCCAAAAAGCCTGCCTGTCAGCCGTCTGTTTTCACTGCGTGGGCGGAACTTCAACGGATGCCAACGACCGTCAACGAATTCACACGGAATGCTATAAAAAGACAGAGCCAAAAAATAAATCTAAAGCCTGTAATTTCCCATTGTCTCAATGCGTTGCTAATTTGGGCATGTCTTTAAATAGCCCAACCACAAGGAATCATTTGGAATTTAAGGCCCAATCATTGTGCAATTTAATGGAAAATTGTGGAATGCAAGACAACAATGCGTAATTCCTGCCATGCCCCGTAAACTACTTCGATGCACTTCATTAAATGGACAACACAAAAGATTTTTACACACATCCCATAATGGAAAATATTTCTTCCATAACAAGAGTTGCGAAGGGGTTCTTTGTTTAAATGCCCGGCAGCTGCGAATCGTCGGCTATATAAATAGAGAAATCGAGATGGACGGCCGATGATGAGCCAGTTTGATGGGTCTGCCCGCCTGCCTAGGCTGAAATTGTTCTGTAAACTCTATCTATTTATATCGTAAATATAAATTTTGATGCTGATGTGGAGCTGAATTCGGCCCACGCGGCGTATGCGCGTTTTTCGCACTTAACTCATTAAAACGGTCGCCGCTCGAAATTAATGGATTCTTTTTTGCTTTCTTCTGTCCGTTATTATCGTAAATTATTTAATTGCATTTTAGGATTTTGATTTGAAGTGGAAACATTCGCTCATTTAAAATCGAATAAGGAATGAAAATGGAAATGTGGTTGGAGCGGTTTCAAATGTTTATAGATCGGAAAATGAAAGCAAATAAAAGAAATAAGGAAAGGGTATGTTTTTTTCAGTCTATTAATCAATATCAAGCCCCACTTAAAAATTATGACAAATAAAAGTGCCATCAAATAAAATGCAAGCGAAAACAATGCTCTGGAAATATTTCAACCGACATTGCCGCCCGTCGAATCGTCGATATATTGACCGAGCACTCAGATGCCAGCCTTTGGAGGACCCTTCACCCAACCACTCGATGGCACCCACTCACCTTGTAGAAGGCCTTCCGGAAATTCTCGGAGAGAAAGGCGTAGAGCAGCGGATTGATGCAGGAGCTGCTGTAGGCCAGTGTCTGTGCGGTGACCTGAATGACGAGTTTAGTGAGGCTGTTCATCTCGATGACATCCAGTGCCTTGAACAGTAGTATGAGCTGTCCAATTAAAGGGAATACATTAGAGTGTACTCAAGATTGGTTTCTTAACTAACCAAATGTTAAAGGAAAATTTGTTTTTTAAGGAATTAAATTATCTACAAAACTTTTGCATGTTTGTAAAATTTATGAGAAATTATTTTTACTACTTTAAGTGGGCAATTAAAAGCCCGAATTATTTGATACATTCACTAACAGAAATGTCGAATCAGTTAATAATATTTAAATGTCTTTTGGTATTAAGAATAACTATATTTTTATGAAGTACACACAATTTGTTTTTAATTCTGACGAATAATTTAAATAATTAAATTAAAATAAATGAATAATTTAAAATATAGAGAGAAATACTTGTATCCAAAACCTATTTATTAAGGTGAACTTTAATATGGTTTATAAAATATAAAAACATATTTTAAACTTTTATAACAAGTGTTTTATTTTCTGGGGAAAAACATTATTCTCTGAAAATCCAAAATGATCTTTTTTGGCTTAAGATTTAATTAGGTCTTCCACTCACCTGAACGGGCAGCCAGAGTGAGGCGAAGGCGATGACCACGACGATGACCAGGCGGGTGACGCGCTTGCGACCCCGCTGCGACTCCTTGGACATCCGGACACCGGTGCCCTGGCGCCACAGCCGCATGATCATCCGCATGTACAGCCCGCTGATGATCATCAGGGGCAGCATGTAGGAGCTGATGAAGAAGGTCACCTGGTAGGTCCTCGAGCCGAGGAAGTCGTTGTTCGTGAACATGCACATGCCGTAGGTGATGTTCTTCTTGGCATCGTAGTCCACCTGCGGATATCGATGATAGAGGGAGGTATTTTCAGAGAATGGGTGTGGGAATCGAATATTGCGCATACGTCATGTTGCCAGTGACAGTTGCATGGCAGCAAAGCCACGTCAGACGGCCAACAGCCAGACATCGTAAATAAAACTAAACTGTCATACGAATAGTTCGGACGTCGACAACTAACTCGCAATCTCACTTTGTTTCTCTGTCGCTGACATTTGGCTGACAAATTGTTCTGCCGAAGTTTTGGATTTGGAGCAGGGTGGAAGGATTGGGATCGGGGACTGTGGACTGGGGAATTTTGGTTCATGGATTGTTCCATTGGCTAGACGAGACTGGTGTGCTGACGCTTAGGAGGGTCATAAACTGCCTGGCCTATCGTAAAAATATTTGCAGCCTTTGTTTACATTTTGTTTACAATCGCTCGACGAATGCGTGTGGAAAATCGTATTTAAAAAATCTTGCCGTTAATGCCAGAAAATGCTTACAAAAATGTTTGTTTATTACCCGCCCTTGTTGCTGTTGTTATTACACTGAACGAGAGATTTTGGCCCACAAATTGAGTTCAAATCTGGGCAGCGTCAAGTGGCCAAGGCCACCGCGGTAGAGAAATCATGGCCAGACCCTCCGCTGATTTATGGGTTAATTTCGTTGGCTTGTTCTCCACCAAACCCAAAGACTTAATAGACTTGACAAGCCATTAATGCCTTTTCCTCGTTCGAGAGAAAGCAGCCAACAGCTGTCAATCAATGCCATGACCTGGAGATCGCATATCTAGTTACGCAGTCAGACATATGCGCCTTTATGATTATTACTTATCGATTTCTAATAAAAAGATAATGGCGCGCGCTCCACAGAGTGGCAATCGCGCCCTCATTACTTGCATGCACAAGTATGTAGTACGCATGTGTGTTAGCCAGGCAATGTAATATGGAAATAATTAATGGCAAACTGTTAATTAACATGTTGATCAAACATGACTTAATTATGCCTTTTTATCGCCTGTTCCTTTGTATTTGCACACGACGGGCAGATAACAAAGCAAAGCACACATATGAGCATTCAATTTGGCCTGTATTTTTCCAGCTTAATCCTTAGACAAAGCAAAGCAAACACATAAGCAAACAATAATGCGACCCATTGGAGCTCTCCCCAACCCTCAACGTAAACAAAGCAAACAGCAACGAGCGAGAAAAAAATAACGAAGCGTGAAATGCCATTTAATAAAATATTAGGTTGCAATAACAACACCAGAGCAGCAGTGGGCCATCTCATAGATAAAATAGCTCATCGTCCGGGTGACGATGGGATTCGCTTAATTAACCGCGACTCTTTCGCTTTTGGCAAGCAAAAGAGAGAGAGCTCGACCGCACAAATAAAAAGTTGGTCGTGTGTGATGTGGGATTCGCTTTATTGGCAGTGGGAAATCAGTGGGGAAAAGCCCCTCGGCTATTTGGTGACGTCAACAGGAAAATAACCCTATGCCTGGCCATGATTAGGTGTAGCAAATGCCCGTGATTGTGAAATGTAACAGGCGATGTAACAATAAACAGCAAAAAAATATTTTCAAGGTGAAATTAAGTACAATAATTACACTGTGCTACAAATCACCTATTCAATATAATGAACTTAAAATACAAAGAACAATTGGCACACTCTATCATAACTGTTAATTTTTGATATCGCCCGCTGATTCTGGGAAAACAATCTAGATCACCGGCGATTATTCCGCAATTAAATTGTTTCTCGCACTTTGCGCATCGATCATAAAAGCCGAAAGGCCAGAAGGAACGCTTCAAGGTCGCCACCCGCAAAGACATTTATCATACGCAGTGTGCGCCCGAAGTTCGGAAGTGCAAAGTTTCCATAATGACCACTTGTTACGACTTACGACTGGCCGTGATTTACGTGCTTTCAGATCAACAGTTGAAATTGAATTTGAAATTGTGCAAGTGGGTGGATACCGCCAGTTGGCAAGTGTTTCTCGCTGGCTATCTGCTCTATAATTAAAAATTTATGAATTCAAAATAGCAAATTAGTAACAAAAACAAATTGGGCGCCGCGCATCTAGCAAAATTTTTAATATAAACACAAAACAGAAAACAAGATAAAAAGGGGAATCTTTAATAGAAGCGGGCATATAGTAAAAGCAAATGATTTGTATCAGGATCAGTAGAAAAGAAGGGGAAGGCAGAGGTCTTCACCTTCTGGATTACGATCTCCGAGAAGGCGAACTATAGAAGAATCTGTAGAAGAGGCAGCATTGACGTGCAGCGAGAGGAATCTAACGAGGTGACGATGATGGAAAGCAATAAATTTGCCTGGTCCGTGTTCTTCACAGCAGATTTAGGCACAGCAGGGAACCAAACTGCTCCTCCTCCTTTTCCCCTCCCACGACCACTTACCACCACATCGTGGGTGAAGGCTACTGGCATCGAAACGACCAGCACCACGATCCACAGAGTCACGATGGCAATCAGGGTAATGTTCTCCGTTCGCAGCATCCGCGATCGAATGGGATGGACCACGGCCAGGAAGCGATCGATGGACATCAGCACCAGGGTGTAGATCGAGGCGAAGGCCGTCACCACGATCAGGTACTGGACACTGCGGCACCAAAACCGTCCAAAAGGCCAGTAGTAGACCATGTAGTCGGTGGCCGTGAACGGAATGCAGAGGATCACGAACATCAGATCTGCGGCGGCCAGGTTCACGATCATCAGGTTGGTCGTGGATCGCATGTTCTTGTTGAAGACCACCACCAGGATGACCAGCAGGTTGCCGAAAAAGCCCGTGATGGCGATGGCCCCAAAGAAGAATCCCACAATCCAGGGCAGAGTGCCGTTGATGGCCAGCCATTCCTCGTCGGTGAAGAAGGAGGTGAGATTCTCATCGTTTCTGCTGGCATTTATAGATATGTTGCCCAGCATTTCAGCTGGTGACACTGTAATGTTATCCATGTTTCTTTTTAAACTTTGATCACTTAGCCACCGGTAATTTCACTTGATTGTCACGGCACATTTTCAATTTCGGCCTCTTTTCTGTTCACAGTTCATCGAACTTAAATAACAAATTTCCAATTAGGAGATTTCCGCAAAGCAGCCGCCACAAAAATTCAATTATCATGCGCAATACTGCGACCGTGGAGCCCTCAAAACCGTAATGCACCCGCTGGGGAACCGGGGTCCGGTCCGGTCCGGAATTGTTCACTCGTTGCGGGTGGCAAAAGCAATTTGGTCCTCGCCCGATAACGGTAATTGTGGCCCAGGTAAGACAACAATAAAAGGACAGCAGGGCACACAAGAAAGGACAAAGGACGAGGACGAGTTCAAAGGGGGGCACGTGAAAATCGGCGCCGACGCAACCAAACTGGGCCGTGTCACACCCTGACGTCGAGGACACCGGAATATATCTGGGTACGGCCCCAATATCCTCGAGGACCACGTCGCTGCACCTACACCATAAATTCAATATGATGTCTTTCTCTTCGCTCCGTTCGCTTTTCGCTTCTGTTTACGTTCCTATTCGCTTTTTTATTGACAAACGAACGGCATAAAATTTGGGGTTCTACCCGCAAAAACAGACGTTTCTAACGATTCAATAATTTTTATTTTCTTCTAGCATTTTCTCCGGCGTTTTCACGTTTTTCTATTTGGGTTTTGTGTTTTTCTGGTTTTTAGCCAATTTGAAAATCCACACTGCACGCGTTCGTTTCCAGCGCCCAACTGATTGCTGGCAGTTGAGCTTGTTCAGGAATACTATACTCTTCGATGCCTCGGCGGCAGCGGCAGCGCCAAACGCCGGCAGCGACGCCAGCCATCCCAGCAAGAATAATGGCAACAATAGCAACAACACCAGCGCCTCCGTCGCCGCCGCCGCCGCCGGTTGTTGTGCGTGAGTGTGGAGCTTCGGGTGGCCGCCGGGGGCAGCTCCTCCTCCGCCACCGCCTTCATTTACTGCCCCTCAATCCTCATCAGCTGGCTGGAATGTTTGCTCTTGTTGCTCCAACTGTTGTTGGCCCCCAATTGAATGGGCAACGCGGCACAGCAATTGTCGGGGCAATCACTACTGCCACTGGGTTGTGGGTCTCGCCCAGCCATTGTCCTGCACAGCGGGATGTCCTGGCTGATGTCGTCAGCTTTGCACAGCTGCACAGCTGGCGTCGCTGCTCTGCCACGTTCCGAGCTTTGCTTAATTTCTCTGATTAACTGCCGGCAGAGAAAATAACAAACAAAAGGCAGCCAGCACGCGCCCCTTTTTCTCAGGGGGGCGTAGATCAGATTCACTGGGTTAGCACCTTGTCACAACGTTATGTAACCGCAGATGCGAGATTTAGCTTTCCAAGACCAAAAGGCCTCATCTCGCCTCGCCTCATTTACATGCTTTTTATTGCCGCTGCCAACGCAATACTCACCTGTCACTTGCAGACGCCGACGTCGACTGAGCAGCCAGCTTCTGCGTCAGCGGCAGCAACCGACCCCTCCTCTCTCCACCAAACCTCCCATCAAATCTGCGGCGGGCTGTCGCTCGGCATTTCCCGCTGATGTGGGGCCATGGTTCACTGCACCCCTGACGAGGACGTCGCCAACCTGATGAGATTAAATACGAATTAAGCGCCGTGAGCAACAACAAAAGCGGCTAAAAAAATAAACCAAGAAATCGCCAACGACAATAGCCAAGGCAAACAGCAAACAGCAAAAGGCACACTGGCCAGGTGGAATTATGTTTATTTAATGTGCAGTACTGCGGATTTAATGAAGTCTTTAATTCTTAATGCCGGTTCATTGCCCATTTAAATGGCCAACAAAGGCGGTAAGTTGCTCGAATTTTGACCGAAAAGCGGAGACGCCATCTTGCCCATTTGCACATCATTGCATCATTGCGGGTGGCTAACTAAATTGACCGGAAGTGCCAAGGAAAGTAAATTGGATAGGTATCTAAACAATTCAATACTATTTTAAAGTGTAGAATTTGGTTTGATTTACCATTTCTATAATTTATAAACCAATTGTTTTACTTGCATTCCAACTAATAAAAAAAGATACAAATACAATATTTTAATATTTGTAAAAGTTTGATATTTTTGGTTATACTATTTCATGATTTAATTAATTCAGTTCCCTAGGCAATATAGATTAATAATAATAATACTAATATATATTTTAACCAATTTCATTCTATTTTTCAGATTTTTACATGCTGAAAATATGCTAAAATATTTGCTATATTTAAAGTTTACATAATTTAAATCCCCCATTCACCCACATGAATAACCATCACCTTGAACCACAATATCTGCAGCGTTTCAACAAAAATTGAAAGCATTATTCCAGGCGCACACTTAAATTAGCATCTAAATAAATGACTGCCAGACATGAGAGTTCGGGACGAGACCCTTCACAACCACACGCCCTCGAAAATACCACTCGGTCTCGCCCTGCACTTTCCCTTTCCCACTGCACAAGCAACAATTTTTGTGATGTCAGAAAACTTTCGACGTGATTGAAATGCTTTTTAATTTTTCATCAAAATCATTTCATTGCGTCAAAATTGTTTTGGGTGCTCCTGAGCGGCATGATGAGCACACACCCATTAATGGGGGATTGGAGACTCCCCATCTTGCAGGGACACCGAGCTTAACCTTTTTCGTGTGCTGCGATGGATTGGTTCATTTTTGGCATAATCATGCGATAGGGATCACAAGTCTCTGCCAGGGACACGAACTTTTGGTGTCGTCAAAGAAACTACAGTGGGTGAGACGGAAACCTTACCTGTTTAAATTCGAAAGGACTTGAACCATGGGTTATTGCTCCCCAATCAATCATGGCATTTAATAGCTTCAGCTTAACCAAAAATATACCTCGTTTAATACATTTTTCCGAGTCGGGCTTAAAGATTGCGCCACTGTTCGTGGGCCGCAGTCAACCTGTGACGAAAATGATGGATTATCGCTTTTTGTGAAAACGTTCACATGTTTTTATTTACTTGTATACAACCCGGCCAAAAGCTGGCCCTTTTTTCGGCAGCTGCCAGGGGAATTAATAAATGTAAATCCGCATGAGAGTGCCCAAAAAAGGAGGCAACGGCGATGCTTAAGCCACACAAAAGACCACACTAATCGCTTTTTTCTCTGTTTTTTGGACCGACGGGCCTTGGATTGGAAATGGTGGGGTTTCTGGGGTCGATCACGGTCCGGCGACACAACTTTTACACAGCTTTCGCTATTTAATCATTCAAATTGACTTTTTTCCTGCCTGATGGACGTTAATTTTGAAATCCCTTTTTAAACGCTGCCCACCCGCGGATACTCCGCAACTTCGCTCTACGCTCGCGGCTTATAAGTTTTTAGCCTTCGCCCATTTGGTTTTTTTCCGCGAATTTCCTTTTTGTTTTTCCGCCGGCGCACTTAGAATGCGCTGAGTTTGCATTTGGCTTTCATTTTACCATTTCGCCGACCGCCATTCTTCTAGCGCCTAGTCCCTTTTTAGTTTTTTAATCAAGATGTTTTAAATGCGGCCACGCTAGTGAATGATGGATTCCATTTTGTCTTTTTTCTTTTGGCCCCCAACAAAGTAAACAGAAAGTTGGTTGGTTGGTTCGGCAAAGATTTATGCAGATAATAAAATGAGTTTTGCATGGCTGGCTGATGGTCCCGCTCATAATTAAGGACCGTCCTTGAGCCCTGTTTTCAGTTACCAGTTACCAGTCCGGTTCATTTTACCGCGGATGATAGCTCAGATTTTTCCAAACCATCCAGCCTTTCAAAGGCAATACAAATTTGCCGAATCCATGTCAAGGACTGAAGCATTCTAACCAAATGTCGCTGGACCCCTTAAAGTGGTCGGCCAACTTAGCCAGTTTAGTTACCTGGACTGCAAACTTTATAGAATATTAAATTTTGTAGTGCTTCGCCGTTTTATTACCGGGACACGCTTTATTGTTACTTGCCATTGCATTCCAGGTGCAGGACAATAACTTTCCGGAAACTAGGAGAGCCAAACCCGATGCCAAAGCCACTGCAACTTGTTAGACTTCCCGGCCACCTAAGGCTTTTTGTTTTTATTAACTTCCGTGAAAAATGCGATTTTTACGCGCAGCTGCAGATGGCGAGCCGCACCGGCGGCGACTTCTATTGTGAGGGAAATATTGCAGTCGCGGACCTGTCAGCCCTGTGGACACACTTGTTGCCATTGTTGAGATACAAAATTAACTTTTACGCTTTATTACCGCAAGAATGGTGAAACAAAACAAATCTTAAGTTGCAACTGCACTTCGCAACTCCCCGGAAACACCAGAATCAGCGGCATCCACACCATGAACTTCTGTTTTCTGTTGCCATTGCTGTTGCTGTTTCTGTAGCTGTTTCTGTTTTATTTGGTCTTGTTTCCGGAGTCGCCGCTTTTTGTCGCCGGCATCCGGAGGCCATCAAAATTGCCGGAAGCGCGAGCCGGGCAGTCGGCGGCATTGTCATCAACTCAATTACATTTGCGACTCCTTGCAGCCGAAGGGAAGCGCAGCTTTTGTTCGCTGACTGATGACAGGGCCTCCTAAACAAGCAGCACAATACGCGCGGCGTCGTTGGCTTTTATCCTGGCCACGCCCCCGGCCTCTACCGCCCATTGTGTCCTGTCCCGTGTGACGGATGCGACAGGAAGCGCTGCGAGTCTTGATAGTCCGACTCCGCAACAAAGGCTGCGCACAAAAAAGCAGTCGTGAGCAAGGAGTTGGGCGCAGCGGAGCACCTTTCCGTATATCTATGGCGCCATAATTTACTGCTTCCCCTCAGCCGCCGCCTGTAATCTATGGCCATGCCGCTCCGGCAGCGGAAATGTTTCACAGAGATTAGCACAACATGTCAGGATTTTGATTTACCTGCATGCCAAGGATTTACCCCATATCCCCATTCCACTCCAAAGCGCAGGAGCTAAGAGGCTCAGCTCCATCGAATCAGTTTCGGCATAGATTCGGGTATCGGGTATTGGGTATCTGGTATCTGGTATTTGGTATCGGGTATCATTAGCCAAGTTTATGTTCGGCTCTCCATTTCCAATGCAAATTGAAACGACTGCGATACGGCTTGCGAGCGGCAGGGGCTTAGCTCCAGTCGGTCCTTGAGCGGATTATCCAGGCACAGGTGCGTCTCGGCGTGGAGGAGGTGAGTGCCGCGGCGCAGCCATTGCTGAGCCATCCTCGCGGTCCCATTCCTGCCACACGGCGCCAGCGCTATCCGCCTCCCGATTGCCACTCCCAGGCAGAGCTCCCGCTGGGTGCTCAGTTGTCCACTGCTCCGCAGCATCCTCCACTGGGTTATGTCGCTGAGGTGGCAGCTCACCAGGATCAAGTCTGAGTCCTTGTGTGTGGCATGCAGGCAGCGATCCTCATTCCGCAGGGTTCCCGTGGCAGCCAGCTCGTCAAAGTGCATCCTGTGGAATGATTCGGGGTTCGTTATTTTTAAATTAATCATAACTCAAATAACTAACAACACAGAAAGAAAAACGTTAAGAACTCGATTCAAAATTTTTGAATAAATCAGCTTAAATTAAAATCACAATTTGTAAATGTTTTTAAATCTTTTTAAGTGGATTTATAAATATTTTTCTACGAAACAATCTTAAAGGTAGATGAATTGGTAATTCCCTATACTTTTTTTAGAATAGGCAACCTCTTTTAATATTGATTTATAAAGAAGATTTATGTTATTTTTAAGGAATATATATATAAACAATCTTATAGATAGCGTTTTCCTCTGTGTACTGACCTTAGTTCGGGACTCACATGCCGCAGATACCATTCGAATGGATGGCACTGCCACTCGCCCCTCAACTGCCTCATCTCGTCGTAGGTGTGAGCCAATGGAATTCGCCTGGCCGCCGGCCTGAGTGCGTAGAACATACTTTTATACTCGTCCAGCCAGGACTCGGCTATGATTTTGGAGTTACTACGGCGGGAGGAGGGTCCAATCAGCATGTGATTGGAATGTTTATATTAAACGGACGCCGTGATGAAATAAATTGAAAAATACCAGAGGCGGTGCGGCCATTTCACACCTAATCCCCGACCTCGTACTCACTGCAGATAGGTTTCCTGGGCGGAGCTCAACTGATGGTCGTCGAGGTGCGGGGGAAAGTCGAAGGCATGGCGCCGGCGAAAGATGTGTCCGATTCGACTGCAGGGCACGATCTCAATTTGTCCACCGCAAAGCCACAATTTAATGGCCAGCTCGATGGACTCGCCGCCCCAGATCTGCAAGGGATAAAGGACAATTGGACAACTGGGGCACTGAAGGAATGCGCTTGGAAAAGTGTCCGATTGGCGGTCGGAGTCGAGTGGCCTGACATTAGCAATTAGTGCCCACTTGACACTGGCTAATTGGGTTTTCTCACCTTCAGATAAGCGTTGAAGCCGCCAAGCTTAAGGAACCAGTCGCGTGACATCATCAGGACACCGCCGGCGAAGGCAGGACTTTTGTATGGCATCTCCGGCAGCTCCTGGTTGGCCAGTCGCCTCCTCAGCCAGTGGAAGTGCAGGGACCAGTCGAATCCGCCCTTCAGCATCTCATTGCCCCTCCGGTAACTCAGGGTCTTGGGGTCAATGGGGTCAAGAATGGGACTCACTGCCAGATTGGGGTCCTGCGCCAGTCGCTCCAGCAGGGGCTCCAGCCAGCCCTCGTTCACCTCGCAGTGGCTGTCCAGGAAGAGCACATGGTGTCCGCTGGCCAGCAAGGCGCCCCTGTTGCGCGACCAAATCAGGCCCATCCGCTCCTGGTTCACCAGGAAGATGAGCCCCAGGCGATCCCTCGTCCCCAGAAAGACGTCCATCCACCGCCTTAGGTCATCCAGCAGGGTCACTGTTAATTGGGCGATAAGTGCGATAAGTGAGAGGTAAGAGGGAGGAATGGGTTCAATGGCCTACCATCCTCACTGCCGTCGTCCACGATGATTAGCTCGTGCAGATACTCTTTGGGGGTGCGACTCAGCAGGGAAACAATGGTGCGCAGCAGCATCGAACGCGCCTCGTTGTGGAAACTGATCACCACACTCACGTTGCAACTTGAAGGCGGTGGCAGGTTTCGGGGCCGGGAATCACAGCTGAATCAATAAAAAAGGCAAAAATGCAATAGTACAAATATCTTAAACAAAAATGTTAAGTAGCAAATAGTTATATTTCTATCATTGCAGCTCACAACTTTGGTATAAACAAATTGTTTGCTTGCCAAAAAAATAAGTATTTTTAATTTCCTTTTAAATTAACCATTTTTAAAATTTAGGGTACATACAAGACAAATAGAAACTTAATTATTAGACACACACTTGTCCTGAAACTTGGCAACTGCAAATGCAATTCCATGCCAGAGTAATTAAGTAATTAATAAGTAATTAATAATAAGTTGTTGTATATATTCACCTATTTTCTTACCTGCAATGCCTTGTTGATGGCAGTTTACGTATTACCCCCAAAGTATCACTCAGGTGAAGATTGTATTGGTAATACACCTCCAACCCTTTGCGGCGATGAGAGATAAACTCACTCCAGTCCAGATAGTTCTTCCCACTGTCATTATTTCGATGTAACTGCTGAGAAAAAGATTCGATTAAGATAATTGATATTTGATAAGAATATTTATACATCTCACTCACCCCACTTGCCAGTAAGTCATCATAGCTTTCGTTGCGTAACAGTATCAGAATAAAAACCAACTGAGAGATCACAAATGCAAAGATATAGAAAATGCAGCGGCGTGGCCGACCATATCTTCTACATGCGAACATGGCAACTTCATAGACCAACTAAATTGATTCCGATTTCGTTTCCGCATGGCGTTTTCCAAGTAGTCACAAGACGGGCCAGAAAGCGCGACTAAATCGCTGTGGTTGGGACTTTACGCTCTGCCACTGAATTCAGTATTAAACCATCTGTTCGCCCGCCTTTCAAATTATCACTTTCTACGAAAAGGTGGGTTTCATATTAAATTTCCGTCTTTTCTACTTAGCTGGTTTTGATAGTGTCGTCACATGCGGAATGAGTGATGTTGTATCCAATGCCCCATTCGTGACTCGCCCGCCACCTTATCATCGCATTCTGTCACACTTGTCACTGATAAATGTTCATAAGTTTGGCAAATATTTGTGTGCAGCTCGCAAGGTGTTAATTGCACCAAACGAAACTATCTATTACCCATGAGCTGTCAGTTTCTGTGGGAAACTGAAGGGAAGGGGGTCAGAACAGAAGTGAGCACAAGCATGTTATCGATGTTATTTCATTCATGGCCCTTGGCGCAATTCGCTATCAAACATTCCCCGGTTTTTATCCAGCCAATTGTGATTGAATGTTATTGATATACCAGAAACTATTTCGTAAATTGCTCCACAGCTAAAAAAAAACGTTTATAAATAATTAATAAATCGACTTTTGCCGCTCATTTGTTTACATTATTTTTGCATTATAATTGCATTATTTACCTTGTGTGTGTACAGGCGTGGAAATATTTTGCAATTCATATTTTTGCCCGAGCAATTAATTGAGTGTAATGATTTGCACAATTTTCCACCCACTCATTATATACTGATTTGTTTTATTTGGCCGCCCCCCTCGAGCATAATTCGATTCGGGGAACATAATAATGTGAGGGACTCGCCAATATAGACTATTTCCTATGTCAATCAGTTCATGGCAAATAAATTGACGCTGCCGCCGGGAGATCTGCGCCGGAGTGAATTAAATTGGCTACCAAATGGCCAGCGCTTTCATTGAGTCGAGATTCAGTGGCTCACTCGCATATTGGCATTGCCTTTTTATGGCCTTTTGTTGCTGCCATAAATATTTCAGAGGCCAGCGTCGCGTCGGTTGCCCTGCACATCCACATCTACAGTCCCTGCATAACAAAAAAGGAAAAATGGAGATGGTAGCAACTGCCATACACAAACACCATTGTCCATATTGGTTAGTGTCCGAGTTTGTTGCCGGGAACGGATGCCGCTCCTCGTGTGATGTGATTTTATTTAAAATTGTTAGGCAAAGCGGAAGTAACTCATTCAGTTAGCAACAAAATCAGGCGCCATGCCTGGTCCAAATTGGAGTGTGACTTCCGCATTGCATTAGGGTTATACTTAGTTGTTAGGTCCTTCGTCCTTGGTCCTTGGTCCTTGGTGCTTGTTCCTGAGCTGTGGCTGCTGCCCAGTTGCTGATTGACTTACGTGCCTCTCGTTTTCCTCTTCACTCTCTGGGTTTGTCGTGTTTTTTTGTTCCATAGCTCTACACAGTTTTTACGTGCAGCGGAAATGCATTTTTCCAGTCACGTCTCCACCGACCAGACAAGTGTGCAGACAGACGCCACGGTGCTGGAGCTCCGGATCCTGCAGCCTCGCCAGCTCCAATTCCAGCTGGTGCCAGGTAAGACATACGCCCCCACTGAGTGGCAGCGACGGCCAAGGATTCTTTTGTTTTCGGTTGCCGTTGCCGTTTCGGTTGGCGTTGGCGTGGGAATTTATTAAGCCGGGCGTGATCTATGCATTCAAGCTCGAACGAATTAAAGTGCTTTGTAATGAATGCACAGGGCAGGATGAGAATGGCCCCGGGATGCCCTCAGGACACCTAATTGTATGCCGGGTCGCGTGTGCAGCTTAGCAATTAAGTGGCCGGCCAATTCAAGGGCGGCCAAGGCAACAAAATTCGATATTCAATATGTTTTCAATTTGCCGTTTTTCTCTCACATCTTTTGCTTCTGCTTCGTTCGCGTCCTATCAAAGGCAATCGCAAAAGCCGTAAAACAAATAAAAATAAAACGAAATTATGCCAATAAATGAATTATAAGGCGCACGCACCACGCGGCGTATACGCAACGCTAGTCAAAGGAATGGGCGACAATGCCTAAGTGGCATGTAAATGTGTGTGATAGCGTCGCGTCTATGTGGCACGTCAGTGGGTGTGAGTGAGTGGCTGTCAGTGTGTGAGTGTCGGCCATGATTATTATACGGCCACTCACACACTCGCACACACACACACACGCATGGGTGTTGCTGCTGTGTGTGCGTTATGATAATGTTAACAGCCCGGCCCAGGCTTCTAAAATTTTATTAGCAAGCGGCTTATGGAACTTTGAAAATAATAACAAAAAACCAGCAAGGAGTGCCCCTGCCCCCTCTCCATCTACCTCACTCACTCCCACTCTCCCTCTCTCTTTCTCTTTCTCCCACTTTCGCCGACTCCTGTTCGCCATAAAGAATATTGAGGAAATTGCTTTCTTTGCACTCGAAATGCTCAGCAGAACCAGCCGCTCAGCAGGGTGCACTCATTTCGAAATTGTTGCGTATTATCGTAAAATTTTACGCACACCCACAAACATACACACACATGCACAGTCGACGGCCAAGGACGTGCGCACACATACAAATGCGTTTTGATGCAGAGAAGAAAAATCTCAAGGATTGCTTTATGAACGGATGTCGGATTGTTCTAATAGATAAGTATAAATACATATATTTGCATACCCTTTTAAGCCGATTTCAAAGTGACCAACTGTTTTGATTCTCTTAAAATCTGTATTAAAATTTGTCACTTTAACGATTATCAATTTTCGATTAGTTGATTTTTTAAGTGTATGGTAGCATTTTTTCGCTAAGCATTGTTTGAGTTTTCCCTCGAGCAGAGGACCGCATTTTTCTTGTCAAACATTTCCATATCCAGCTGTAGCCACATATTCGTGTATGTTGAAGTGCGTGTGTCATATTTGCAAAAACAAAACAAAAGATTGCGAGGCTCAAATTGTGTTTGTTTGTTGTGGCTCATTTTAGTAACTGCGGTCGCGCCCTTGAATTATTTAGTTTAATTTCCAAAGTGCTTTTACAATAAAGTGATATGCGGCTAATTTGCAAGGACCCCATTGCTTGAGAGGGGGACAAATCGCAGCGAGAAGATCAAAAAGGAAAATCAAAAAAGCAAACAGAACACATGGACGGAAATATAATTTCAATGATTTTCCATTTCGATTTTGAGAGTGGGGGCGGGGACCTTGGAGAAAAAAAAAACCATTTTAATGATGTTTACACAGTTTGTATGCGCCTGTCAACATCAACTGTGGCTCTAGTCCCAGTCCCTCAGTCACATTATGTCCTCTATGGCGATTGACTAGAACTTTTCACTATGCCCGACGGAGTACTTTACTTGATGACATTATCGCTGCAATACAAAAGGTTTTTTGCCACTGCCACTTCATCTCGGTGTTTGTTTGTACAGTTTCCTCCCATTCATTCGGCTGGCTTTTTTGTCAATGACACTGAGCCGGAGGACTTGCCCGGAAAATATTGCTAAGCGTCTGCGCGTTTAATGGCTCTTGTTGGGAACTTTGATTCGGCAGCGGCGGCGGCAGAGGCAGCAATTTTTCATTAATTTGATTGAACCTCAGCCAGTCAAACGGAAATGAGGCACAAGAATTTAATGTCATATTTGAAACACACAAAAATTGTTTTTATTTGATCTCCGCAAGTCTGAACTGGGCTTGGGAATCGTTTAATTTAAAAGAAATGAGCACAACAAGGAAGGTGATTTTGATATTAGCATTCTAAACTTGAGCAACCCAAAAAGTCTTAGAAGGAAAACATATAGGTTATCAAACTACGAATTTTTGGTAGAATTATTTTACTAATAGTTCAGCTTATTTTGACCACCGCCATTTTAAACTGATAGTATAAAGCGCTACCAAAATGGTTAAAATCAATCAGTTTTTAGCAAGCGAACAAAAATATCATTTTTTTCGTTCACTTGACAATTGTGTCCCAGGATGTTAATGCCGCAAAAGGTGTTGTGCCACACGAAGGGAATACCGAAATTCTTCACACACCGCTCCGATAAATCCTCGTTTTTCAGGCAAACAGTGTGATTACCAATTACCACACCGTCGGGGTCATTGATGCGCCGCCTGCAGTCCAAGTTCGTCGTCTGCGGCGTGATCCTCTTCCGCAGAGACGTCCCGTTCCCATTCCAGCTCCAGTACTCCAATTCCTCGGTGGCCGGAGGTCGATCCCGACAGATGGGCGGCGTTTGGGAGAACCTCTGCCCCAATGGGGTTCCCAATTGGAGCAGGAGCAGCAGATCACTGGCATCTTTTGCAGTATAATTCTTGGACACCTTACTGTTCGTTATTGTGTTCGTGGAATTATCGGAAAGCACTACTTGAATGCTCTTAATATTTCGATCAGGCTTGCAAACGCCTGCTGTAAGCACTTGTTGCCGATTCACAATGATTCCGCTGCAAATCAGCTTGTCATTGTCCATCAGGCGCACTAGGTAATCCTCTAGAGGAAGTCCAGGGATCCTTACACCTCTTAGAAGATGGACGTGGCCAAAGCAGACCAAAGCCAGGAAAAATATTCCCATTCTTAACATGGCCTCATTTAAAACTAAATTAAGATGACTTAAATAATGTCTTTTCCTACGATTTGACCCGCCCATTATGAAAACGATCCGCTTTGATTGCTAATGGGTTTATTTTGCATTAATTATTTACGGTATTTACATTTGTTTTATCGTAAATCTGGAAGAGTACATTTTAGAAGTGTAAAATGGCTTGAGCTCTCAAAAAGTCATTTGAAAGAAAACACCAGATCCTGGATTCAACCATGACTACTGGCGTAGTGACTTGGCCTATAACCGAAATGTGGACTCCAGTCATCCAACATATACCTCAACCTATGGTGTTTTGGACCAGGACCAGAATCGTTGATTCGAATTTGGTCTTTGGTTATGTACAGCAAAGCCAATAGCAAAAATATTCCCTTTTTCAACATGGCTTCGTTTCAAACTGACTTCTCAAGACTAACTACCTCTACTTAACTTCCCTTTTTATTTCCAGATTTGTAATGGGTTTTTATAATCAATTGTTATGGTATTTACTTAAAGATCTTAGCAGATTTGGAAGAGTATATTTTAGAACGTTACAAAACTGAATTAAAAGTGTTTAGCAAATAAGTAATTTTAATAAAAACATTTTACAACCCATTACAAAATTGTATCTTCTATTCGGGAGTTTTTTATGAGCTCCATGCCACGTATGGAGAAATCCAGAGCATCGTAGATTCGAATGTACAAGTCGACTCCCGTGAAAGCGGGACAGTTGTGGCCCGCCACGTTGATGCCACAGATCATTTCAGCGTGGATCAGGGGATTCCCGATGGCCAGTTGGCATTGGCTCGTAAACTTCATATTCTTCGCGCAGATCATGGTTCTGGTGGCCACATGAGCTCCGGGATCCTTCATCCGATGCAGGCACTCCTGGAGCGGCAGGACAAACGATCTCTGCGAGTGAATGTTGTGGCGACTCCTTATCCAAAGTGGCAGCTCAATGGGCTCGTAATTTTCCAGCTCGGTGCTGCAAAGCTTAACAGTGTCGTCAATGACACTGGAATTTTTCGGTGGATTGGAAAGCTCAATTGCGACCAGCAAAGGGTCTGCGCCCTTCAGGAATGTCTGGTTCAGGGGAATCCTGTGCCCGTCGAGCGCTTCGTTGTTGTACATCTTCATGGTTACCACATCGTTTGACGCATCCTCAAAACAGGTGGAGGTGGTAACCACGAGCTTCTCGGATATCACCGTTCCCATGCAGATGTACTCGTTATGCTGATAGATGCGAACCATCAACTCATGCAGCGGCACTTTCTTCTGAGATTTGGTCATCAAAACCACGGGTTCCTGGGATGTGCCGTACCGGAGTCTCGGTTTTGGGACATCCTGAGCCGGCTGCTCCGATTGTTCCGACTGTTCCCCCTGAACCGGCTCTTCCTCCTGAGCCACCTGATTGTTTTGCATTCCCGTCCCCGTCCGTCGTCGTTTGTAGTCCATCTGGGTCTTTGGATTGTGCTGCGACCTGTAACTGGCCAGCATATAGCGATGATAATGCGTCTTGGCCGACCTTGCCTCATTTGCCAGGACAACGAATAGAAGGATTTGGAAAATCCAGAGAGGACGCTGCATCATCACTCAAAGAAGTCTCTGCTACTGACCTTATAATAGTTGTTATTAAACTAATCCATAAAATCAATTGGAGACGTTTAAAACTGATTTTTCATGGCTAAATGTAATACATTAACATTTTTATTCTAGAACAATAGTTTAAATTTAAGACAACGAATTCTGGGCTAAACACAATTTTGTTTTATGAGTTTTATTTTTGACAAACCTTTTTGGGACTTAAGGAATATATCCCTCATAAAACTTAAATTGAAATACAACATCTAATAATTCTGGGAATATTCCAATTCATTTACCTGTGGACCGCCGTTTCGGGGATCATCGAAGGGAATATAGGGTACATGACTGCCAACGTAAACGTTGGGGGACTTGTCGGCCAGTGATTGGAGCATGGGTGGAAAATTGGCAGGAATCGATTCGTTGAAGGGGCCGGAGCCTGTGAAAGCCCTCAGTGCGTCCGTGGCCATCTGGATGAAGGGAATGACGAGCCTTATCGGCAGGTATATGTCCATGTTGACGGAGTCGTCCTCCTCGTCGCAGTGCCCTCCGTATATATTGATCCCGGCCAGCTTGTTATCCACAACCAATGGATCTCCGGGCCGGGTGAAGCAGGTGGTCTTCTTCGTGTGCCGCCTGTTACGCACGCAGAAGAATCCGTGTTCGAATGTGGACACGTGGAAGAACTCCTTCAGGGCGTAGTACACCCGGCAACGAAAGTAGTTTAGCACCCGCGTATCGTAGAGTGTGACTTCATATTGAGGTGAGGTTATAAAGGCCATCTTGACCACATCCCCCTCCTTGGGAATCTTGCGGTTGAGCGGTATGTAGCGGAACCTATGCCGATCCAGCTTGTTGGACAGGGCGAGCAGAGCCACATAGTTGGTGAATTCATCACGCCGGTTCACCGGCATGAAGAACGCCAGCACCTGGTGCGGAATCGGCTCCGGGCTGAACTCAATTCCAGTCAGTATGCTCATGTGTTTGGCCGTGAACTCGTAGGAGGCATCATGTCCCGGTGCCTGGAAGCAGTGCGTCGACGTGATGACCATCCTGTGCGAGATCAGGGCCCCCGCACAGATCACGGAGCCCTCGCTCAGGACGTTCACGTAGTAGGTAAAATCCGTACTCGCATTGAAGGGCCTCTCGACGCGAGTTTGCAACGGTGGCGGATTGTCCCGATCCTCGAGAGCCTTGCGATCGTAGTTTACGTGATTTAGATGGGAATGGCGACCATTACGGTAAGTGGGACGATGGTAGTTCTCCTCGTACTTTTTCAACCACCTGGAATCACTGCAGTGGAGTCCTATGATGAGCCAAGTGCATGTGATTAGGAGTCGCATGTCGATAGAAAACTGGCACTAAGCTGGCAATTCATCTGGCTTCTCCGTGGCTAAAGAGTTTTTTTTGACTAACTTGATTAGTCTCACTGTAAGCTAAGAAAGAGAAAAGCACTTGAAAAAAAATATTTAAAATCTCAGTAAAAGAACTATTTTCAAAATATTTGTAGTTTTTTCCCACTTGAATATTATATTATATTGCCAAAAAACGTTATAAAAAAGAATCAGCTAAATATTTTTAAAGATGCCAGAAAGAAAGCCATTTTATATATAAAATGCAGAAGGCTTATCTCAAAATAATACCCAATTTCGTTTTTTTATTATTGTGTTATTACAAATTATTTGCTAAATGCAATCAAACAAATAAATGAAAAATTTCTATGGAAGGTAAAAAAAAGTATTTTTTCAATATTCAGTTGTGTTACCATCCTTATTTCATTAGTAAATAGTAAAGCTGTATTTCCTAGTGCGCCTGCAGCAATATTAATTAACAATTTATATGAATACCAAACGGCAGACTCATCTCGCACATCCCTCTAATCCTTCGAATGTCCTTTATTTGCCGTGTCTATCATTGTCTTGGCATTTGCATTTTTTGCAGACGACTTTTGTTGTGCGCGCCGAAAGTGTACGAAAGAAAGGAAGTCATCGCATTGTGATGTGTGCCGGAGTGCTGGAGTACCGGAGTGCGGCTGCACATTGAATTATAAACCAGGCATCAATGGCCGTCATTTAACTCTTGCCTTTTGCTATTTGCGTTTGCCGTTTGCCGCCATCGAGGCAGACAGCTGAGTGGACCTCAGCTGACAACGGCAGACGACATTGTGCCGGACATGAAAGGCTTGAAAGGTACCAGAATATGGGCAAGATGGCTGAAAAAATGCGCCGCACAACGGAGGACATAGATAATTAATTTGCTTTGATTACAGTTGTCTGGTGCTGCAAAGGAGGTCGGAAAAAACTGATTCCGAATCGGGCTTTGACTCCTTCTCCGTCTCCGAAGTGGACTGACTGGCAGACGGAAATTGAAGTGTTTGTAATGTATGCACCGCCTGCGGCAAGAAAACGGATGAGGATGGGGTTGGGGTTCGGGAAAAGGGTGAGGATGAGGATGAGCCAAAGGCATTGCCAGCCGACTATCCTTCTCTGGCGTCGACAGCAAAAAGTGACAGCCATGTCGGCAGGCTCGACGGCGACGAGTGCGTCAAATTGATGGGCGGCCAAAGGCTTTTCCATGCAAATATAGTTCGGGTGGGCTCTGGAACAGCTGCCGGCTGCCGGCTCGGGTTCGCTCATCAATTATTTAAAATATGTTACACTTGGCACATAACTTCTCTGACAAACATGTGTTCTTCATGCCGTCCTGTAAGCCGATCCAACCGGCCGTAATAGCTGGTCATTATGTTTATGGCCCGACTCCAGGGGACAGGACGCACACCTGACTCGGGAAAAAAGGCCATTCAACGGCCTTGTCGAAATTTATGCGTACGTGACGGTTGAAAAACGTGGCCAACGTCAAGCAACCTCGGGTCATTTATTATTAGCTGTAAAATGCGTGCTGGATCCGGTTTACTTCCGCATTCCGTTTGGATTTCACTGCTTCTACGAGCTGTCTGCTATCTAATAATAATTGGATGAGCACCAAATCTGAAACAAAAGACGAGTAGCGATTTGATAAAGGAGGGTGTGAAAATAACCCGTGCTCTATAAACTGTCTGACATAAAGGATGGCATAAAGGAAGTAGTTAATCAATTTTAATTTCATGATATCCTTACTACAACATAAAATAACTATGAGTAATTAATTGCCATTTGAACATACTTAAATTTCAAGGAATTATTTTTAACTTACTTTTAAGTGGCAGCCAAGATAACATACAAATATACGGCTAAAACTTAAGGCCAGTTGTTTACGCAGTTCAAGTGTAGATTTCCGCAGGACGCTGCTAACAGTTTTATACGAACGCTGTCGACGGCAAATTAAATGTCACTCACACGCCATGTAAGCCGAGCAAAGACTTTGCAGCTCATTATGCAGCATGACGCAATGAAAAACACAGAAGGGGGTTGCTGGCTTAGCTTATTTGAATTTACAAGTTGCCAACGAGCGACTAATGGCAAATTGAATTTCGAGCACAGAACGCTTTAAAAGCAATCAAAGGCAGTTGCCGTCTCGGTGGATCTCCAGATGGATCTCTGGCTGGGATTTGGCTGCAGGGTCAGCTGTGCGAGTACATTTGTCTTGTGCCATTTCAGAGATGGACACGGCAAAAGAGTGAATGCAATGGACACGAATTGCCTCCGGCTTCGAAAAAGTGGAGCAGTGGAAAAGGAGCAGGAGCAGGAGCAGGAGCTGGAGCAGGAAAAAGGAGCTGAAGGAGTGATCTCGGCGGTGGCGGCTTCGTCTTTGATTGCGCTGGCTCTCCGCCTGTCTTCTACTCAAGCACAGTTCGTTGCACATTTGAACATACCCTCAGAAAATAAATGCAAATTTAGCCATGGCAAACACACACTCCGGAGCACATTGGCCATAGACAAGAGGACTGCTCCTTTTGTTGCCCTGCCGCCGCTGCACATTTCCCGAACGCCAAAGCGCTGCTCCAGTTTGCCCGATTCCGCTCTGCCCTGCTCTTTCAACATATTTGTATAAATTTTCGATTTTCTGCTTCACCAGTCTGCTGGAGTTCTATCGCTGCTGCTATAGCTGCTGCTCCTCTTCACTTTGTTTACGTCTCGAGAATTCAATATTTTTTCAAACTATTTCTGCTATTTTTCTCGCACTTGCTTTGTTGTTAAACTCGGTTCTGGTTCGGTATATAAGCATTACTACCAAAGGATTGAAGGCGGACAGACACACACACACACACTCTGCTCTGATAATCCTGGGGGCACCTTTAAGCAGTATATCTGTTCGATTTGAGCTGCAGAATTTACTTTTCACTCTCACATTTTATATGCTCATTAAATTTTATTGCTCCTATATAGTTCTAAGTCCTTCACAGCACGCAGAACTCGTTTTGTTTTGGCATGTACGTGCTTAAACGCTGCCTGCTGCCGTTTGCTACTTAATGGCTAATTAGTGGTATAATTTACACCTTAATGACTCTACAACAATGCTCAGGCAGCTCAAGATGGAGCAGGAGCAGCTCCAGCCAAGAAGCCACAGCCCTGAGCCCAAGGAGCTGCTGCTGAGCAGCTATCTAGTTTAATCCCAGCACCTTGTAGGCCACACCCGCCATCCAACCATCCACCCAGATACCCAGACACATTTTATCGCTCGGCTCATATGTATGTGCTTGGCTGTATGTGCAAATCAGCGTCCATTAATAAAGACAGCTAACGAAACGTTACGCATACGCCGCGTTGCATTAATCACAGCGAACGATACGTAGACCTAGACCGCAGCGTGTTAATTTCATCGCAAATGCCTTTTCCAGTATGAAAATTTATGTATGCCATTTTAGACAGTTTGATTTATGACCTCAGCTCGGAAGTGAATCGAGTTTTGGTGAATTTATTGAACGGGGGCTTTAATCGCCAAGCGGAAATCCCTGAAAATAATATGCCTAGTAAATCAATTTATTAGTTGATTGGGAAAACATGTGTATTTATGCCAACTTTTGTGCCATTTTAACAAAACTTTTAAACCTGGGACATTGAATATTTCTGATAACGCAAAGTAAAATTACTTTTCAATATTTCTCGCCACCAGATTGATTGACTTGCATGCGAGGCGGGGCGAAAAATGTTGTCACGCACTCGGAAATTATTCAAAATGACACAGCTCACACAATGTGTGTGCACCTGACAAAGTCGACCCGCCAAAGCGAACTCCGCGGGTGGCAATGCAATTTGCAAATTGCCATAAAGCTGCAATTGTGTCAAATATTTTAATGCAATAAGGGTCGCAGCACGATAGCTGCATGCACTCACCGACTCGTTCAAAGACCACACTAATGGCAGCGACACGCTGCGTATACGCAATGCGTCAGCAATGACATCAGCAGAAGCAGGGTCAGATAAATTCGCGTTAAAGTCGCCTTGCTATCGGAAAGCTTATCGCCCGGGCAATTTCGTCCAGAAGTTCAATTACGAAGGGGCATAAATCCGTTTAGAGCCACCAAATCTAAGCGGCACTCCTAAATAAAATAGACAAAAAACTAAGGCAACCAGTCGGGCTATTCAATTTTTATTCTCTATTTTTTATTTATTGCTCCAGCAGAGGTCCTTAAACCAAAACTCAAAATATATTTTGACCAGAGAACAGCGGCACTGCAGAGCGACAAGGACATTCGGCAGCGCGTTAAAAAACAAGCGAAAATATTACAACATTTTAATAGCGAAAATGAAGATTTATTGCCCACGACGACGACAGCGACGGATGACGACGCCAAAATGCCACGAAAAAAATGGAGCTCAACTAAAAAGCGCGTTTAAAACAAAAGTAAAGGAAAGAGCCACTGACCAGCAAAATCAGAAGCAGTAAATGCTGTATATCATTGAAAGAATCGACTAGGAAATGCTGTATAAACATTACATTCAGTAATAAATTAAAACGTATGGATTAATGGTTTTTTGAACAAGGGAATTAATAAAATATTTGATAACTTGCTTATTTAATGTAATTTTGACATTCATATAAATACACATATCCCCTTTTTTTGCAATGAAGAATTGTAAAATATAAAGCTATGTACTACATTTCCTATTACTGTTAAACTAACATAGTTGATACCATTAGCAATTAAATTACAGATTGTTTTTCGACAGCATCAATTTTATGTATTTTAAAAATGATTGAAAGAGTTTTGCCCATCTCCTCCAACTCAACTACCTTTCATATTTTAAAATGTCCTGGGTATCGGGATGTGGAAAAAAGTGCAAAGTGTAAAAATCGCTGCCGCGTCACGTCACGTCAGCCGCATGATAGACCAGTCAGGGAGTTGACCGCTCCGCCCCGGTCACTGGGCGTGTCCAGCTCCTGACTCCTGACTCCTGGATCC